TCAAAGGCAATCAGTATTCGCGCCCAACTTAAACGCTACCTCGAACGTTTCGGCATTTCAGTAGATGAAACTCTTTCATCATCATCAAACCCGAACATGCTCTCAGTAGGAGGTCCAGATAAAAGCGAACAAATACGTAGATGTCTCACGACGGGATATTTTGCACATGCCGCAAAAATGCAGCCAGATGGAACGTTTAGGAATGTGGGGGGAGGAACGATACTTCATGCTCATCCGAGTAGTTTGATGTTTAATCGGAAGTGTGAATGGGTTGTTTTTAGTGAGGTGGTGGAGGTGGGTGGAAAAGTTTATATTAGGGATTTGAGTAAGATTGAGAAGGGGTGGCTGGTGGAATATGCGCCTGAGTTTTATAAGATGAAGTCATGATGTGGAATTGAGATATTTGATAACATTAAATTCAAAAAGCATCTAGAGAGGGTATTGTTAATACTTATTTCTATCATCGTTGTCATATTCTATTTTCTGAATTTTTCGTTGCTTGTTCCTTATCATCTGATTTTCCTCACTCGATCAATTTCATTCTCGTGTTTATTCCTTCTTTCACTCACTTCCAAAAACATCCCCAACCCGCAATTCTGCATGTCAAAACTTCCAAAGACTTTGGAGGGTGGAGTAAGCTCTCCTGAAAGAACTTGTGAAGAATTCCGGTAATGTGTATCATGGAATTTTTAGAGGATGTCCTGGGACTTTATATATAAGGAGGCTGAAAAAATAGGGATCGGAGACGAAAAAATGAGAGTTTGGCATGTGGTATAGTGGAGTAGACGGGATGCAATGTGATGGAGAGAGAGGAGTAGCGAGAGAGTACGGAGATTTCTTGATGCACTGTTTCTCTTTATCTCCTATCCTCCTTCTTTTCTCCTGAGTTTGTATTAAAAGCTAATTTACTCTGGGTTTATAACTCGGGATATGGATATTGCAGACGCTGATAATGTTAGGATAAGGGGCTAGGAAGTTTGCTTTGCTCTTGGTGTTGGTGATAAATTGGGTGCGCCGGGATTATTCTCGATATGTTGTTTTCGGGGAGGAAAGAAAGATGGCGATGTGGTAGGTAACCTTATGAAAATCGTTAGTTAGTATTATTGCTGTTGTCGTTGTTGTTGTTGTCGTGAAGCCTCATGTTCAAGAATCGCTATCTTGTTTCATGTTTCTCTCCTTGTTTTGTTATCATTTCATCTATATATCATCTCACCACAGTAGTTTCATTCAATCACTATCGTATGGTATTTTCTCTGTAGGCTTAGTTCGGATCGAATCTACGCATGTTTGTCAACACTCCGTGAGATCTACTTCCTAATTGTAATTGGAATACTCTATTCCTCTATTCAGCACATCAATTTTTAAATTCTACGGAGGCCTTTATATAGATTATAGGGATCGAATGACAAAGGGTTGGTTTCTCAGGAGTAGCCGAGAGAGATACGCGAACGGGAAAATTTGAAAGAGGGGAAAGTGAATAATACCCCACTCCCTATATCTCCTCCCCTTGGATTTCTCCCCAATACATTCTTATATTAATCTCTGCCACTTGACATTCAACTCGGTATACAATTTTTGAACTCGTTCATAGAACTAGCTCAGGAGTAAAAATTCTAGCTCGCTCAAGCGAACATCAAATCTATCGTACTTCGAAGTTAGTTCAATTCTCCGCATTGCGTTGGGTGGTTTGGGATATATATCTTTCCTCGGGAATCTTAGTGTCATTATTAGGTACGTACTTCTATCGCTGTCACTATCATCATCCATACATGGCGTCGTTCCCTTTACGAATTTCATAAATTTTTTCGTTGTCATTTCTTCCACATATTTATATCATTCTTCTCATACCGATTTTTTCATCTCAATAAACATACGGACTTCTATCCGCAAAGAAGGATATCCAAAGGAAAGCAAGTTTCAGCGTGGAAGTTTCCTCATCGCACATAGCTGCGGCTATGGTATCATTCGTGAGTGCTTATGGATTGGGGTTGGAGTTGGTAGGGTTTATATAGGTGTTGTGAAGAGTGAAGAGGAGAAGCCGGTATCGGAGAATAAGATAGGGGAATATTGCACAAATATAGTATATTTGCGGTCATTCCGCTAGAAATTCTTCGCTCTAGTCTATATAAATCTCCTATGTTTTGACTATTGATCTGGTATCAAAGTTTGACCGTTGGAATGGGAGGCCATGAGGAAGAGTAAATCTGAGCCGAAAGTCTTGGTCTGGTCTGTTGAGATAGTCTGCCAAGATATTCACCAAGATAGAGAGGTTTTATTTTCTTGGGTGGTAAAAACTATAACTTTGAGATTGACGGTAATTTTGAACCGTTGTTGTCGAAGTGTTACTGGATCTCATGAATACTACTCCCCAGAGATCTTTAATCTTGTCGATACCAGATCCTATCTCACAACTAACATTTGGGGAAAAAGCGAATAATCAATCCTACCCAACCCTTATTTACCTCGTTCTGTACACTCTACCTATCCAACAATCTATTCTCATTGATAAAACTCACTTCTAGTCGAATTCTCGATGTCTACCCATTGTCTCCCTCCGCATGACACTTTCTTGTATGTTTGTTTTTCTTCCTTGAAGATCAAAGATCTTGGCGACTTTTACATTTCGAGAAATAGAATGTAAGAGTGAGAGTGAATCATGATATCCTGATTCCGGAAATACTCTCTAGTTACTCGCCCATGAATAAATACCAGGTACACCTCTACAATACCACCACTTCCATAGCCCCACCATTTCCAAACATGAGAAAGCACTCTTACATCTTCTCTTCCCCGTTAGTATTCCATTCTTATATAAATATCAAGTTAATGTCCCAAGTTTTATTCCTCAGTCCCAAAAACAGGGGAGTGGATCAAAAGCGAGGGTTGAGATACCATGTTTTCTTGTAGACAACTTTCTCTTGAATCTATACTGATGCCTCTTGCTTCAATGCAGAGAGATTTAGAAGGCGGAGAATGGTTGATAGAATCCGTAATTATCATTTGTTTCTACCATTTTCGCATTTCCTTGATATTTTTGTCATTGTTTATCCTTGCATTCAATATTCTTTCTTGCCCTCAAACCCTCGGAAAACTTCTATTCCACATTTAATAAGCGGTTTTTTGAGCTATCTGTACCTCATAATTCCGCCTTGCTTCTTGATTCCAGCCAAAGACAGCCCCTGAAAGTTGGAATTGCTAATGTTAGTCGTGATGTGTGATACACTCCTCAACTATTGCTTACTTTGTATATCCCACTAACATCTTGAATCTTAATAAAATTTACTTTCATTAAAATAAAGTTCACACATATGAAATTGATCTCGTACTTCGAGTATTCAGCAAGCTGATCAAGTATTAGTAATCCTACACCTCGTGCCGTCTAGGCTAGCTATCCCAGTTTGACTTTCGTTTCAATCTCTATATCAATCATCAGACTTCTGCCCACTTTCTATTCCCGTATCGGCAAAGTAGAGAATCGAAGCGAATGCAAGAAGGAGTCTACCATCTTTTGGAAAAAAGAAACAGACGTGAAAGTCTTGTGATTATTAGTTTCACTAGACTAAATAGAGCTTTTATCATTTGTCGCCTGTGGGTATTTTGTTGTTAATCCTTTTGATTTCTTGTGGTTGTCACTTAAACTGGGCTACGATGAAAAAATCTTCATGATAGTGGGTAATATCACCGGGTCTAGGGCCTGAAGAATTCTTGTTGTAGCTCGACAGGAGCTCAATGAATCGAGAACAAACAGAGGGTCGTCGTACACCATATAGCTGCAAATACTCTTCAATGTAGGTATATGACTTGAACATATACACACACCCCTGAGATTTTGATTCGTTATTGCGATAGGTAGATCTTGAGCCAAGTCTAGTGTCTTTGAAGAGCCTTATATAGCGATCCGCTGACCCCTATTTTTTTCAATGAATCTCTTTTATCATTCACCATTACTGGTTCGGGGTCACATATTAACACTGGCCCACTAGGTGTGGTCAAGAGTCAAGGCATATATAGACACTCAATATTCCACCAATTGATCCTTCAAAGTCAACATACCGCTTGGTTCGGTATCTTTCAGGTGCGAGCCACTTTGAGCTCGACGTCAAAGAGGAAAATGAGGGGTCGAAATTTGGCTTTTTTTCAGATAGCAATGGGAGACTATGGAGTGTTTCTGGGTCTGGTATCCAGGAAGCTTGCGCTATCGATAATTTGAATAACTATCGTGGTGCCATATCTATACTCTTGCCGTCTCTTGATGACAAATATCTCACTATTGTCGTCATTATCCAGGAATCTGAATTACAGTTCGCTGTAACAATGAGTTATGATATTTGGCATCAATCACAGCTGGCAATTAATGAGACCAACCATAAACCATGCATTTTAAGCCTGATATGCTGGGACGAGCCTTTTTGAAGTCTTGAAAGATGTCAGAAGCGCTCGCGTGGTTCATTTCGATTCTCACTTTTCGCGCATTTCTTATTGCTTTTTCGGAAGGCTCCACTCAAAAGTTGACAGTGTCGACATGAGATGCTATCATCGGCCTTAAACAATCAGCCATATTATTTACCATGAACTGAATGAATGTCTTAGACATGTTGTGCAATTCATTCCCATGAATTCTTTCATGAAAATTATTCACAAAGACAGTATTCTCTGTGCGACAAACCAAACGGAGATCTTAAAAGTTGATGAATCTTTTAATCACCACGAACGTAGCCATGCATCTATTCAGAGCGCCTGAATAGGTTACTCTAATGGTTTCCGCTGAAAATTTGAAAGAAAGAAAAATCAAACAAAGAAATCCCTCATGTCCTTAGTGAAGCGTCTGCTCAAAGCCCCTAACAAGAAACGGCAACCAAATCCCAGGGGCCAAACAAAGGTAACAAAGAAAATCTAACCATGCAACATAAATGTAGTGAAGCATTCTCTCAAGTTAAATGTCTGCGATCAAGTCAACTTACCACTCTGCTGAAATTCTCCAATTCCAGTCTCAGTGCAAAATGTCCTCCGCTACTGGTCCCAAAATGCACTCAGATCCACCGGCAAAACGATCCTCCTTCGCTCTTCGCTATTATGACTTCGCAGACGGACACAGCGATCTGACTCCGCGCCCGACTCTAATTCCCCCGTTTCCCTCTTTTTCCACCACCCCACCATCCAGAACTCCATCGAATCAAAGACGCGACTGGGACACGATTGAGACAAATCAAAGAAATCGTCTTCATTCTTTCACCACCCGCGAACTCCTCAATCTCGATGCAATAACTGAACGTCCAATGGCTGCATCTACACTTTCCGATGTGCCCATTCTCGCATTACTACGAAAGACACAATGGGACAGGACAGGTACAATGTTTGGAAGAAAAGAGGCTATTATTATTGACGACTGGGAAAGAAGTGGAGATGAAGAGGGTGTGATGTATGGAAGTTGGAATTCGGAGAATGGACATGTGTGGAAAGCCTTGCGGCCGATGTTGACGATTGCAAATCAGTATTTGTTATCGAGTCATATGTTACCTTGGGTGAGTTACCCTTGACCCTTGATATGCGATGAATATTTTCGTATACTTATTGGATTAGAGTCAGCATTGACTTCAATGACAGTTTGACGCTTTACTTCTTGCCCCTCGGAAACCTATACCACCCGAAAGAAACCTACTCGACGTGCCCGATCTCCAATACTTTTCTCCTCGACATCCAGCTTATAACATTGAGGATACTAGGAAAGCCCGTGATAAAATATTAAATGATGTCCTCTTGGAAAAACATGACATTTTGTTCTCGTTCTTTGAGCCAGGCAAAAATCCATACACAGGGGAGATTGACGTAGACGCCGACGAGAACATGTATCCTGATCAGAACACGCTGGCCTTTGCAGATATTCGCTGGAATAAGCGGGATCCGGGCGATGATAGAGAAAATCCATGCTATAATATCGTACTCATGCTGAACGTTGATTTTATCACTCCATTGATTGTAGATAAATATTTGAACCATGCCGAACGATACGCAATATCTTGGCGGATAGCCGTTGTAGTAAGTTCATTATCCGAGCCCCTCGAGCATCCTGGTATCATAACGAGTTTGTAATACCTTATGGTAACCGCTAAAAATTATAGATAGTACATGAATTAGTTCATGCTATAGAATTGGCTAGAAATTACCCCAGCCGAGAGATTAAAATGATGACCCCACCTGCCTCAATCGAACCATATTTCGAAGAGGAAGCTTTGGCTGAACTAGGATACTCGTACGAGAATGCCGTGGGTTGGATTACCCTATAATCAAGCTAAGAAGATGTATAAAATATTCTGACTTATGATCAGGTTAACGGGGGATACATAGAAACAATGCTTAATGGTACGATATGGAAGAATCGCCCTTTGGGCTATTGGCTAGTTACTCCCTGGCCAACTATGGAGATGATCCTGACCTATACATCATCTATCGAAAACCCTCAACTCGACGGGGATCCACAACCTCCAAATTATAAATACTTGCATCCTATCCCAGTGACTGTTTATGAAGATGTCCAGTCCATATCATTTTGGGAGCATGCAGTCCGGCCATATGGTCATAAGATATTGTACTATCGGACTATGAGATCTAGTGTCGGGATCAAAGTCGAAGATGAATATGTATGGGGTAGAAACGATATCACAGGGCGAGTGAATGTCTCACCATTGAGAAACGAATCCAAGTCATTCGTAGATGATGTGGAACGGCTCAAAAATTCAGTGAATTGTACACCAGAAGAAAAAAAAATCTTGCAAATTGGGAACAAACTGATAAAGACTGCAGGGTATGCAGCGGTCTTTTGGTCCGATTCGACTGTACAACGACAGAGCATTAACGAGTATATTATGATGATCGAGGACAGCGAAATGAACAACCTAAAAGACAAAAACATTAGAGTACGAATGTTTAATATTTTGATGAAGGCAACAGAGAACCATGTTAGCCTGATGCAGAATCAGTTACGCATCGACGAGTTAAATCACACCATTTCAGCAGACCGGCGAATTGACCTTTTGAAGTTCAATCGGGGAATGCGAGCACTCATACATAGAGTCAAATTGGAATGGCAGATAGAACTTTCCCATCCAGTCATTCGCCTCAGTACTATACTGAATCATTTAGAAATGGCGTTGATGTATATCTTGGTCCCCGATCAACTCACTCAACTGATCGATACTGAGGACCAAAAAGAAATCAATGTGATATCGCAAGCTCGTATCGAATTCATCTCAGGAAATGTTGAAAGCTGCCAAGAAACCATTTCAGGAATTCATCAGAATCCAGGGACATCCTCGTATGCGATAACTTGCGCGGGACTACTAAATCTAGCTTGTGCTTTTGCAAGTGGTCGCCGGGTATGGGATGATGCACAAAATAAATTGACACAACGATACTTTGCGAGAATCAGATATTTGACCAGGCTCTACGATGGAGGGAAAAGAGAATGGATTGAGTTGTTGGGACACTGGATAAAATTTGCTAAAGATTTAGGGAGAAGTTTAGATTATGGAGGAATGCATGGAATTGGGATGGTCACAATGAGTACGAGAAAGAAAAGAAATATCGCGAGAGATATGGGTGAAGACGCACCACCGTACACGCAAGAAGATATTTAGACAAAAAGAATGCTAATTCCAAGCCTGGAATGGAGAAAAGACCGTTGCTCGGTAGCCTTCATTTCCGGAACGCTCCGCTCCTTGTCTGGAGTTGAAACTTGACGTTCCAATTGTGACGAGAGGCGAAAATCTGGATGGCATTCCTGTCCAAATCATGAAAAAGGAACGAGGGTGAAGGCTAGACACGGATACCACCACCCCAGTAAGAGCTGGTTCAATTTATAGAGAACTTTTCCTTTTGTTGCTTGGCAGGCTCATTCGAATTCCCATCTAATGTTCAATCGATTTGTGTACATAGATTTGTGATTTGGAGAAACTACGATAACCTTTCGGTCCATGTAAATGAACTTTGATATCCTAGTCCAATGGCTACTTAAGCCGAGGAATCATAGCGAAACGTTATGAGATGCCATTGAGCTTGAAAATTTCTCACGGCTGCATATCCGAGCTCATTTTGTCTAATTTTAAAACGTGCTCCGTTAACCGAATATGCAAGATTGACGCAAGCCGGATGACCTGCCGATAGACGTCACAAACCCTTTATCGAATGGATGCTAAAAAGGCCAAAAAATGGGAGATCATGATCTCATGTCATTGATGATACACGTGCGACGTAAAAAATTATACAACAGAAGAGATGAGTGGTCAAAAAACGAGCAACAGCCACAATGTAGACGAAAATTCTCATCAGGCCGAGGATTTGGCTAGAAATCGAACTCAATCTATCGTAAGATGTAGGTAAGGTGTGAGACATTTCAAGCATTCTTTATGCTGATGATCCATATCAGAATCTAGCCTCATCGCGGAGCACAAGTTTTGCTGAGATCTGACGCACAGCGATGTGAAGAACCTCTTCCAGCTGTAAATTTCAAATCCTCGTGTCATCCTGGGTTCCAACTTACATTTTGTATCACCCATTTCTCGATTCGTGACATAATGGAATGTACTTCTCTCCTGACAGGAATTATATCCCGGCCCCTTACATCTTGGCGGATGCGGGGTAGTTGAATGGACGCTGTTCCGCACAACTCGGGCTTGGCGTCTTAGCATTCTTGAGCTGCCAAGAGGACCGTAATTGTATTTTTCTTGCTGAGATCAGCTACCTCAAAGTCAATGTGGTAAGTATTGTGGTACGGTCAAACTATTATATAAGGAGACAACGAAGGTCGAACAATCCAATATCTAAGAGTTCAAACTCATACTTTTGGACCTACCTCTTCAAGATCTGAAAACTTTCTAGTCTATCCCAAATCTTGGCTCTCTTAACCATTGAAAAGATGCGCTCAACATCTTTGTTGTATTTTCTCGCCGTAGGGCTGAGTGGTGTACTAGCAGCTCCGGGATCCGCAGTCGGTACGTACTATTAAATGGTCTCCATAATAATCATCTAATCTTTCATAGAGGCAAGAGCGGATAGTCCTGCAAGATGTCCCAAGATTTTCTGTATCCCTGGAACTCACTTGTTTTGGAACCCCGAAACAAAGGTTTGCTCGTGCAAACTAGATGACGGGGAGAAGATTTGTTACACAACAACAAATTGCATTACCGCACATCATCCATTATGGGACTCTACGACCGAGACATGTTCTTGCGTACCTGACCAGACCGAGACTACTTGTCTTACTGCGACAACGTGTTTGGTTGGATCTCACCCTGTTTGGCATCCTAAAAGTTCAACCTGCAAATGCGAGCGCAATAAGATTAGAGAAGTCGATCCTGCCACGTGCCCAACGATTCGGTGTACATCCACCACTCACCCTGTATACCATCCTGAGACCAAGCGATGTACTTGTGAGCCGAACGCTCCCGTATGCCCAAACATAATATTCTGCGCCGGCGGTGCCCACAAAGTTCTTAAGCCCTATGCGAAGAAATGCACTTGCGAACTTGATAATCCTGTCCCTCCAACTTGTCCACTCCTTAAGTGCGTTGAAGGAAATCATCGTGTATATCACCCCGAAACCAAGAAGTGCCAATGCGACCCTGACTGTCCTGACCTTTTCTGCATTGCGGAGCAAAGGCCTACATACAATTCAGCAAGCAACTCATGCTCCTGTCAATGGATCCCAGGGTTGGAACCAAGCAATCCGACAACGCCTATCAGGGATGAGACCTGCTCTGGTACAGTCTGCATTTCCGAGAAGCATCCCGTGTATGATGCAAAGACAGGTAAATGCACCTGTCAATGGATCGATGGACTCGAGCCACCCCTTGAGCCAATAGATCCGTGCGTCGGTATCTTCTGCATTTCAGAGATGCACCCCGCTATTAATGCAACGACTGGTCTATGCGAATGTGAATGGATTCCAGGTCTCGAACCAAAGGACACCGTCAAGCCTGTCGAGACATGCCCCGATATTCTTTGCATTGCCGAGAAACATCCTGTGTACAATGCGACCAGTGCACAGTGCGGTTGTGAATGGATTGACGGGTTTGGACCCGCTGCGAGTAAACTCTAGGTGCTAAGTTTCAGGAATGGCGGATTTGGAGGATAAGAGGCAAAAACTGAAAGTATCTCTTCGTCGGCTAGACCAATTAAATGTATCGCATTTTCCAAACTCTAGAGCCTATCCATCTCGATTTCTCTTTGTGCAACAGATCGCAATGCATGCATAATTAATTTATGCAGCTAACTTAGTGGTGTGGTTGATCGGCAGAGCTCAGCCACCGCCAACGCCTGATATGTCATGATAACTGGTGATTCTTAGAGCTCGTAAAAATGAAGGTCAAATGATATATCATGACATTGATTTCGGGGCTTTCTCATTCAAATTGTGAGCCTCGAAGAAAAGCCGTTGACATGCGGTCATTCATGATACCAATGAATAGCTGAAATCCGTGTAAATAGTATTTGTGCGTTCGAACCTGCTAGAAAAGCCACTGCTTACTAGAGAAATAACTCCAGCCATAAGTATTTGAATCACGAGAAGGCGTCGACCTCAGTGCCAAGTCGACCAAATCCTCGAGTGTAGTCCCACCTTCTCACAAGCCCCGCTGACACCGAACACTGATATTTTAGTGTCTACACCTATGTAATCTTAGATAATTCGTATCCCTTACATCGTTTTGTGAAACTCCAAGTCAGGCTTCTGGATCCTTGGGATGCGCATCGGTAAGACGTAGAACGAAAAAAGAATCTAGAAATCTCACGAGGAGCTTCGACAAGGCCATGCATTGTATTCATCGCAACTTGGCACGCGACCGCTTTGGATTAGGTCCTCTCATATTGAAATTGAATGAAGTTTTGGCATATCATGGCTTTTTCGTTTGTAACGAATGATAGCGCAAGATTCCATTTGAATGGCTTTATTGGCTTCCACTACAAAATAAGCCAGACTTCCGTTCATCCAGCTCTGAAATGTGTGTTGAAATGTCGAATGATAAATCCAATAAAACCTTAGCTATTTTGATATGGAACCCTTGGGCTCTTTGCTTTGTGAGCCGTTAGGGAAAAAAATGCATAGCTATTACCGCTTCAATAACCATGTATGGCGAATCATCCAATTGAGTATTTTGATAAAAGTGTTGCGAGATACCATTCACGGGGCTTAATCGAATGGCAACGACAGAGTGCTGTTTCTGCATCCACAATCGAACGGTCTGGTGCATATACGATATCGCATCGCTTTTAACAATTTCCCGTGGTATGTCTGTTGGATAAAAGCTTCGGTTGATGATCGAAATGGAGTCTCGGCGTCTTGTAGACTTGCCCATCGAGAGTGGCAAAGATAGAAAGACTCGAACGATATTTCTTGTTCTCAAAAGTCTTGAATGGGGTAGGTAGGCATGAAAAGAAGACTCGTCATACAGATTCCAAGTCTCCTGCAACTACCATCAGATCGACCATGGAAGCAGCTTGGATGTACGACATGATAGATACCATGTCCTGCAACCATGTTTGGAGGCATTGAGCAATTTGAGGCCAGAAATCTATTCATGTCTGCGAGGAAGACATTCGATGAAGATGCTGTCTATCAACTGTCGTTCCCTCATTTCAATGCAAGGATAGTCAAATAGGAAGGTGATAAAAAGACGTGATCGATTACATAAGCCAACGTGATTTCACATGATGAGCGGATCAACACCATGTGAATTGCCCTTTACTCCTTCACAAATTGCTATCATCTTACATATCAATTGTTGTTATGTAGTTCGGTGGCAGCGCTGTGAGTGTAGTACTGAAACGGATTTACTTGGTTATATCGGTTCTCTAAGGTCTCAATTTCTGATCTAAAAAGCAGCATACGCCAACGGCATGATTTGAAGGAAGATGTTGAGCAGCAGGGTATCTAGGCTTGAATAAGTAGTAGAGCTTGACGAAACTTTCAAGAGGATGAATAATGGTGCGCTGAAATAGACTACAGATACATCGAAAAGATTGTCAATACACAGACATGGCAAGAACGCAAGCAAGTTTGGATCCTGTAAAATAGTGTCTTCTAACTGTCGCTAGACCCAATGAGTGGGAACATTAAAAGCGATGTTTCAGGAGGAAATATGATCTTGTCATGCTCTTTGGATACATTCCATAAATATATTGGTCTCTCAATATCTACATAACCACCCCCTCATATTTAATACCATTTAGGAGCTGTCTTTAGAACACCACATTGCAACGGTCTTCAATTACGTACAAACAAGATAGTATAGGCCCTATACTGTCACCATGCCCAGCGAGCAAATTCGCTACCCATCAATGTGATTCATAATCCGCACTGACAAGTAGCATAATATTATATACAAAATTTTCAGCTTGAACAAGAAGTTAAGAATGCAATAAACAGATTGTCCAGATCTAAGGTACCATCTTGGACAACCAGAGCGCCGTATCTAGATTCAGAAATGCGAGATTTTATCGTTGGATTATAGTTTGAACTGTCCGATCTTGTTTCGGCAGATGTGAGCCTCAAGATGTTCATCAGCCATCAAATTAGAGATTAAGTTTTGTTAGGGATGAGGTGCTGGGGTGGGAAATCCCAGGTTTAGATTGCCTTCCAGGCATGCGTCGAAGCCGACAAGATCAAAGGAAGGGTCGAACATAGAGAAGAGATCAATATCACCCGTAGCACTAAGGTCGAAGAGTGATGGGTCAAAGTCTTGCATCCCAGTATATATTGGAGCGATAGACGGAGTAACTTGAGCGTTGGAGGCAGACGCAATAGATTCTATTTTGAAGGTCAGATTCGAGGATTGAAATGTATTCTGACATGGAACTCGTTTGAAAGATGATAAAATTCCATTGGATTGATTCTGAACATTGGGTTTGTGCGAAACAACAAACCAACTGAACGACCTGACATGTTGGGGGAGGAATAATCATAGCAGAAGCAAATCATACAGAAATGAAAAGTGTAGGACTTACGATTCTCAGTATTTGTCACTGAAGTACTGTGATCATTGACGATTGAGCTATTCTCGGTGGTGTTGCTGATATCTTGCTGTGGTGCCGTAGTTTTATTTTCCGAAGAGACGGTAGAAAATACTCGATCAATTTCCCTGAGCATTTTCTTTCCCATATTTGCAGCATTAGCAGCAGTAGAGTACTGACTTTCGAGGCCTTCCAAAAGCCTACAACTAGCTTGGAATTGACCTCGAGCGCGCATCCGATGAACAGGTAGTTTGTTGTGGCGCATTTCTCGATAGGCAATGCTCAGAGAGAGCGATATGGCGTATGGTACGAAAGGAAATAGAACAAGTTGATCCTGTAGCTCGTGAGGAGTGGTCGATGAGAGAATACTGGTTGAGAGGGCTTGTCGAAGGTAAGAGGGTGTGGAACGCTTGGGTTCGGACCAAATATGGGATCGATGAGAGATAATAGAGATGCTGTGATAGAAGATTTCAATCGTTGCTAGACACTACATGAGTAAAAATATCATTCAAAGTAAACACTAATCATGAACGAAACTTAATACAACAATTAAATATTCCCGAGTGGTAGACTTGGTTTGAAAGTTTGTGTATCATTCAATCATCAGCGTCGATTGGAAATCAAATCGTTCAAGCAGTCATGAGGTACGCAAAATTCAACCACTCCAGAACATCCAAGACGATTTTATGATCTCACAAGAACTCAATATTTCGAACGAAATAAGGACTTAGAGTACTCAGATTATTGGACTAATGCCCGGAATATCGGAAACCCCAGCAGGAGAAGTAAGGTGATTAGAGGATAACATACCAAGAGAGGAAGTACCAATATGTGCAGCCGCGCAATCCAGAACCAACTCTTCAAAAGCAGGGAATCGGACATCCATACCACCTTGTTCTGATTGGTTCGGTGGTCGATATATCTCGAGAACGTCGTCAAGTAGTGATATTATCTTCAAGAATAGACGGAAGGAAGGTTCTTGCTGATTAAAGCATTGGTGAAGGTCTCTCCTCATGTCTCGTTCATGCATCAAGACAGGGCGGCCATGGAATGCAGCATTCATGCGATCTAACGCATACACGCAACATAGAAGCTTTGCACTTGCATCCTCCACCTGACCTTCGAGATGTAATCCCATACCTTCAAGGTAATGAGTAGCTTTTCCAGAGAATTGAGATGCAAGATCCTCACTGCTAGAATTATCGATGAATAGAGAGAGGAGACAGAGGGCTTGGATCAGGACAATTTTGTCGGTCACAATGCCTAGTTCAATGGTCAACCTCATTGCACCGGACACCTTTTCGCCGAACGCTTTGCAGGTCATCGGGGGGCCTGCTTCGTCCAGTATGAGATGATCCGCAGCAGCGAAACTCTTGGATGCTGCCAAGCAAATGGCTTGTTCCAATAAAGCTCGACAAGGGACTGAAGGGGCTAGATTGCGGAACGTGGTCTCATTGATGATGGGAAAGATGGTGTTAATCTTCTCAAAGTATATCCGAGATAACGCTTCAAGATGGGGTATAGGTGGCATTGTAGATAGACACTCCTGTTCTATGAGAGGCACCAGAACATTACGGACCAAAGGCGGACATCCGTAGAATAAGTTTGAGCTTGTCTGTTGTAAATTCGAGAAATGGTGAGGCTTTTTCCCGAGTGTTGAAGAGAGGTATACTCCAACGCTGTCCGGTAATACGCCACGAATAGCATCTGGACTGGTAGCAGCCAGAAAAATTGATTCTGGGTTCAAATCTCCAATGAATCGAGACTGAACACCAGTAGGTTCTTGGGAGTGAGACGTGTTTGCTTGAGTACGAGTACCGCCGCTCAATATCCTAGCAGCTTCAAGGTCTTGATCACTACTTGCTAAAGTTGATGCAACAGGAGAGATATGGCCAGGCTCCTCATGAGACGTTGTGCTTTGATATCCGGCATCCGTGGTACAAGAGAGGATACTTGCAGTATATGGCTTGGCTGGTTGAGAAACCCGTTCATCAGAGTTGACTTGGCTAGATGCTCTCACAGGCGAAGAATTCGTTAAAATTGCATTACTACCATGGTTGCATCGCTTCTTCCGCTTTCTGCAGGAGTCACATGCCTTTTGCGCCTGGTGCCTCTTGATGGATCCAGTCCCATCGGAAGCTACAAATTTAAACATTGTGTCGGAGTGTGGTGTGGCAAGTGCAATTTCAGTCGGAGGTGATTCATCTGGCGGATTTAACTTCTTCCGGAATCATTAAACCAAGTAGTTGCAGATAGGAGCGCCTATGATGATCTCATCCTGTTGTTTTTTATAGATGAGAAAGTCCAACGGCCAAGGTCAAATGCAAAATAAAGTGGACCAAGCTCTTCCAGCAGCCTTGAAATAAAGGTTCTTGAAGTCTTTCAGATAGCCGTGTGATCTTGCACGACAAGAGCATGTAGTAAACTTTCCACTATGTACGACTGCCAGCACCTCGGATGAAGACAGAGGGGAAATCTTCGGAGACAGGCAATACCGGTAGAGACGTGGAAAGATTGAAGATCCACCTTAATCGTGAGCGGAGTTTCCAGATACGTTTAGCTCTTGGTACAACATTTATTTTTCTATCAAGACACAAGAAAGGCTCATAGGACTCTCAATATTCTGCTTCAAAGCTGGCGATGAAATGATACCTTGAGGTCAGATATCTGTTGAGGGAAAAATCGAATTCCGAGGCCACATAACGTAATCTTGCGCTGGGTCTAAATAACATCCTTCAGTGTTCTGGACAGATCACCAAATCGTCCTTAAGGCTCAATCATCCAGACGGAAGGGCTCTGAAGAAAGTTTTTGTACGACCGATGATTGCTGCAAAGGTTGCTGAGCTGAGCTGAGCTGAGCTGAGCTGATCATATCATATCAAGGTGGGTACCTACCTAGTAGTTAATCATGCAGTGCAAAAAAAAAACCTTACATAATCAGGTTCGGACCGAGCACCAGAGCACCAGGAGCAACAGAGGATTCTGGACGAAATATCGTATATATCATTAATATTCTAACACAAAATATTGAGTTTCGAACGAACTTTTGATTGTGAAATCTAAACCCGTCTATTGACGGGATACTAACATCTAAGTATTCGACTACAATACCAAATGTGTTCCAGCCATGGCGTGCCACTTCAATCATTTCTATCTCACCATCGCGACAATCAAGAACCGCTAAGGCGACGTTTGTGAGCAGCGTCAACAACTGCGTGTCGCACATTGACGCCATTTATTATTCTGCGAACGGATCTCGGGAATCTAATTAAGGCTACCTACATAAGGCTCGCTTCCTCATTTGACATCAGAGTATACAATGGAACAATTTCATTGCCTAACTACTCGAAACAAGCAGACCGATACCATCTCTCAACCTTTCGCACTCGTTAAATCATCTGCACGATGTGCATGAAATAGTTTGAAAGGGTGACAGCATCTCAACACAAGGTTTGATCGAGGACGGGACTTGATATGATATCTTGGTGTTTAGTGGGGCAAATGGCTCATGTCTTCAGCAGAACTTTTGCGGGCAGGAATCTGAATATGTGAAAAGTCTGGGAGAGCGCAGCTGCACGGTTGGCCGAATATATGAGCTATGCACGTTGTGGTTTCTGTTAATCAAGTACGTGGAAGTGTCCACAAACTGCTCAATAACTGCCTTCTAAGTCTGGCTTTGTCATGTAGCTTGTATCGCAATTCGCCCACTGCTGTTCTTTCCGACGCTTGAAGTATGTAAGTAGAGCCGCGTTGGTGTTTTGAAGTCCAAGAAAAGCTCAGACGCTTGCCGTTGATTCTTCACCATCAATATTCCTCCGCAATGCATCGTGCTGAAAGCCGAATCTTCCGGAATCAGTACTTGAAGGGGCATGGCGAAGTTGATGAGTTGTTTGTCACGAACTCCACCACTTGGAACGGTGGGCTCAATTTACGTTTGATCAATAGCCAAATGCACACACTCCTGGCACAGTTTTGCCCGTATGGATCGATACTTGTTGCCAGATCTTTTTAACTAAGTAATTACAAGCACTTTGCCTCCCATCGTCCCAATCCAAAAATGTCCATCGAAAGCTCAATTGACCTTCCCCCCAATGTTAACCAAATATTCTGACGTTCTACTAAAGCTCGACTCCTGCAGCACCCTTAGAAACTAATGAATAGAGCAACACAACATGATAATCAGAATTTTGTGTCACGAGTAGATGCGAACTTGCTTCGTACACACCTTGCTTGTTGCACTACCTCGAATTCGGGTCGCTGCGGCTCTTGTCCCATTATTGGCTGTTCTTATTCACACGTTTTGACAGGAACATCAAACCTATCATGGTGGGTTACTATTTCTATATAGTGAATGTATGCAGTGAGAGAACTACCATACTGACAATTCACCCCGGCTTATTAATAAGTCTGCTTGATTAATTAAGTAGGGTGATATATGAGGAGATCGGATGCAGTTCAAGCCTCAGTTAATTTACATTTTTAATGTCATATTTTCGAAGCGAATTCCTAAGAGGCTAATGTCATCACCGCCACCGTCACCGTTATCAAATCATACCTACCTACCGGTGCCAAAGCTTCATTATGGAAATTGCCCGGGAAACCTTCTAAATTCGATTTCATGCTACCCCGCCATCAAAATTCGTTGTCTGTGCACACCTGGGCAGGTTCCTGAATATTATACGCACTAACCTTACCACAGCCACACCGCGGTCATCGGACTTCTCGAATTGGACATGCCGCCAGAGCAATTCGTGCTATGTGAGATTTGCCAATTTGCATGAACTGTACTGGCGTTTTGAATACATTTCTTTATATTTAAGAAGACTTTCATGAAAGGCTTCATTCCATAGACCAAATAATCTTTACATAAACTTTCATTTTTAAGCAATTGCAAGCACCCATACAAAATCTCTGTTGGTTTCGAAGTATTCGAGACATTCACTTCAGAACCTCTCTGTACCTGATATTGAGTCCAGATTCTCGGCATAACGAGAATTCACTACTCATACAAGTCTCATAGTATACCTAGTCACAAGTTCGCATTCGTCTCCATGTGGTCTCACACGCGCCTCGTCTCCTCATGCCGCCAAGCATCTTCTCTTCTCAAATACAAACCCAACTTTACCATCCATAAATCCTCTCTTGTCAACCACAAGCCCAAGTTCACAATTCGCACCCTCGCAACACAAGCTAAATCAATCAGCATGTCTTCTATGAATGCCATAAACTCAAAGAAGGAAGGCGATATATCTTCGGTCTTCGTCTCACTCTCTGGCGCCAAGCCTACACCACTTCCGGAACGTTTTGCTGATATCAAACGCAACCTTATCCGTGGCCACGAGGAGGCCGTTCAAGCATCTTTCACTCGCCTTATTGAGCAACTTGCGATTGAGAATCGAAAGGTCGCGGAATTGGGCCCGAGTATAATCCCAAGTGTGACTTTCAAGGATGTTTATGAGAAGAACGTAAGTGAGGAGCAGTTGAAAGATATGAGAGATAAGGGTGCACTTGTTATTAGGGGTGTCGTGGATGAGACAACTGCGAGACGTTATAAGCAAGAGGTCGAAGATTATGTCAAGTTGAATCCTAGTACTAAAGGTAAGTTATCTTTATGGTTTTATTCTAAACTTCATTCCATCCAGGTTTCCCCAAATTTGATTGACAATCTTCCTCTCGAATATCAAGCAAGCAATCACGGTTGAACAAAGCTGACAAAAACAGGCTTCCCAGCCAATGATCCACAAGTCTACGAGCTCTACTGGTCACCACCACAAGTTAAAGCTCGTGGTCATCCAAACATGATCATTGCCCAAAAGTTCCTGCTCAACCTCTGGCACTCCGCCGATCCCAACTCACCAATTTCCTTTTCTCAACCACTCACCTACGCTGACCGTGTTCGCATCCGTCAACCTGGTGATGCTATCTTTGCTCTCGGTCCTCACGCCGATGGTGGATCTGTTGAACGCTGGGAACCCAATGGCTACGGTATCAACGGAGTATATGACACTATCTTCCAAGGAAAGTGGGAAGAATTTGATCCTTTCGAGTCTTCATCACGCGTACCCGCTGTTAGCGATCTCTATCATGGTGGAGGAAGCTGCTCCATGTTTCGTATGTTTCAGGCCTGGCTCGGCATGTCCCACACTGCGCCTGGAGAAGGCACATTGAAGGTCAATCCACTTATCAAGCTTTCCACCGCTTACTTCTTGCTCCGACCTTTCTTTGAGCCTATTAAAGAATTGCCGGAGGGAAAGGAAGACGAGTATACTGCGGAGTATCTCAGTCCCGAGAATTGGAAATTGATCCCAACTGATCGAATGAGCACTGCTCTTCATGGTGCTACTCCAAGTCATGGACAGGAGATGACCGAGAAACTTCACCCACATCTGGATCTGAAGAATACCATGGTTCATATTCCAAAGATTAACCCAGGTGACTACGTTGCTTGGCACTGTGATAGTAAGTTCTCTATCTCACGAAATTTCTTATAATATTTGCAGTTGCATTGACTAATTGTGCTACTTTAATAGTGATCCACGCCGTAGACAAAACTCATGCTGGTAAATCTGACAGTTCCGTCCTCTATATTCCCGCCTGCCCTCTCACTCCTATCAATGCCGAAGCACTCGCCCGTCAACGCGATACCTTCCTCTCCGGCGTTCCAGGACCAGACTTCCCGGGTGGAAAGGGCGAGAGTGAGCACATTGGCCGACCAGGTCTCGAAGAAGTTGAGTCTTGGACTGGTGAAGAGGGATTGAGAGCTATGGGATTGAGCAAATTTGTTGTTGAAAGTGAGAAGGGAGCTGGTGTTGAAAAGGCTGTCGAGATCGGAAATAAATATTTGGGATTTTAGACGAATGCGAATGGACTGGTGATTATTTGACGGAAGACAGGATGGGAAGGGACACAACTATCTCATGACAGTGGTCTCGAATTGCAATTGGGAGTTGTTTATGATGGCGCAAGGATGGAACGGCGTGGGATTACCTTCTGCAAATCCAAATTTGAGATTTCTTTCCTTACATTCAGGAATGAAATGTCAGATTGGGGATTTACCCATTTCACTATCGGGAAGGGAAAATTGACATTTTAGCAAAGCTCAATCGTGGGACACATTGAGCAGTGACTCGCAAAAGTTAATAGCAATGAATCTTACCAAAAATCTCAATATCGATCTGTCTATATTCAGGACCAACTTTTTCAATATCATCCGGGAATTGTGAACAGTGGCGAAAGATCCCACTGCACTTCCTGATGGAAGATACTAACATGTCATAGATGCCAAGCTAGCTTGTTGGTACATGTTGGTCAAGCTCCGATGGCTAAATTCGACTTCATATCAAGACATCTATTCAAACTTGGAAGGTTCAAGGGTCTCATTTTTCACACATGAACACGCATCAGGATGATAGTTATGAATGAGAGGCTTGAAATCTATTTAGATGGGAACAAGAAACTTGCGATCATTTTTATAGACATATCTAAATTATGAGGTATCTTTCCACGCCATATGAGCGAAATCTGTTGTGTTCTATGTAATACCATCGCCTGCTTGAAAACAACCAGACTGTTCCGCTCAAGTATTAACAATATCAAAGGGGCAATTTTTTTTCACACTCTTGTATGTTGTTTTTTCTATTAGCTGTGGTAGACCTCATCATGCACAACCTGATCCAGCTTCGGTACCAAAAAATGGAAATGTACTTCATGAGTGTTACGTTACATATGAGAAGGCAAAACTTGAAGACACTATTTGCCCAAGCTTCACTGTCAGCAACGAGACTTTCATTCCATACAACTGGCTTAGCATTGATTGTAATTTTATACTAATTTATGCCTCTGGCATCGAGGCTTGAAATAGTGTAGGTGGACTAAACCCATTCTCTGCTAGCGGGGCTTAATTACTAACCGGTGTGCATATCGATCACCTTGGATACCAAGTCCATATTATCAGTTTCTATTGTGTAAGAAGAGATATCTAATCCAGGCTATGCATCTGCGAAGCCAACAACGAAAAACACAGGTATCAAAGCGAAAGGACATCAGACAAGTAAACCATGACAATAGCCGAGCTGATGACCATCGTAAACAGACCGTGATCCAGCTTCTTAGCCAGACTTTCAAGATCTTTTCCGGTAGCAGCTGTGGAAAGACTACTTGTTGTACTTGATGCACCGGTTGCACGTATTCCGCTGCTGGCAGTAGTTGTAGTATTTAGACTACTCAGCCCAAAACCATCAGCAGCAATGACACCTTCCCCTAGACTTCTAGATCCTAGCTCTCCCACATTATTTTTCCAGTCTGTGGTAGTCCCCTGGTTGCCTTTGGGATAGTATTGACATAGGAGAAACAGGGAAACTCCAGGTGTAGCGGGGTCTGGTGATGAACCAGGTGCTAGGATAGAAGTTTATGTTAGCTTATTATTCTTCCGTTTGACTAGGCAGTTGATTCTTGGATTTCAAGCACAAAGAGAACAATTATTCCATCATGATACAAGCTAACCAGGAGAACTTACGGCAATTATTCCAAGCACACCCAACAGACTTCGTGCTCTTCCACACCATCTGCGTAAACTGTTTTGTAGAATTCGTCGGTCCTGGTTCTGACCAATTATAAAACTGGCGTTCCAATCCTAGGTAGTTGACGATTCCGAAGACACTGGTGGGTATAACAGATACAAATGATTTTCCTATGCCAGGAGTTGACTGTGATTCCATACGTAAGTAAATATAACAGCCGACGTATGAGTATAAATTAAAGTATAGATGCGGCGCGTCAAATCAAAACATACCTCAGGATTCCATACACATCCTGCGACCCATTTTGAACTGGAATCAGCCAGTGTATCATTCCAAACAAAAGGCAGTGCTCCATGTGCAGCTCTATACCAATTTTGAGCGTTGAGAATCTGGATCTTGAACTGGCCTGGTGTGCTGAATCCTATTTCCTTTGGGGAGGCTTGAGTACTCAAGGGCGGAACTGAAGTCTGAATCTTGCTTGTGCTGGAAGTGGTTGAAGTGACTTGGGAATCATTTTCACTAAGACTGCGTAATGTTTGTGTCAAAGAAGACGGGAATGGGAGCTCTGTTGTAGATGGAGAGCTGGGAGCTGCGGAAGTATCGGCCAGTAGGGGAATCAGAGTCTGGATTGCGGTTGTGGTTTGAGTATCATCTGATGCTGATAAGGTTACCAATGTTTCTGGAACCAAGGCTTCAATATTTATTTGGCCAATTGCAAATTCAAGGAGTAAAAGGAAAACCATCCACCACGAGAGAAACATGATGACTGCTGATTCTGTTTTTTTGACTGTTGTTTGAGTCTGGTGAGTCTTTTGGAAGAGACGTTTCCTAACTCTGAAGCTCGGGAGAAGATTTGTGAAAGGACAGAATCTTGAACGGAAGACGATTGATTGGAATATCTTGGGCTGTAAGCAAATGAAAGTGTCTTTCTTATTATTAAGTACCCGGGCTCTCAGTAATAATTAATTGAGAAGAGGAAACATTGTTTTAAACTCTTCATTCAATCTTTCTCAACACTCAATTTTGGGAATGTGAATTACCTGACTATCTAGTAGGCACTTTATTACTGGCCAATACCTGGGCCTTGTCTCATTCACTCTTATATACCTTGTGAGGTATTTTCCTTCTGTTGATGAATTTCCAATATCTTCGTCTTATGAATAATCAGCCAGTCTCTACTGAGATATTTTGATATATTTGATTCATCAGTTAACAAGTGTACATGGCGTTTACAGGTCTAAATCCCAATTCAAGAGAACCATTTTTAGTTTTTCGCGAGCTCTCCCTTGACCCATTTTTCCAAACCTCCTCTGGCAATGATTTCTTGCACGTTGGGTGGTAACTCTCCAACCTTCTGACTCCATTTCTCACCACCTTCACCTTCCTGTACCTCAACCTTGCTTCGTCTAACGTCCCATACAAACTTCCATCCAGTTCTTCTAGTTAAGATCTTCTCTCCTTGTGGCACAGCTTGTTCAGCTGGCTTTGGCGAGTCAAGACTTTCGTTATTCTCACTTGGCTCTGTGACCTCTTTCTTTGGCACTGGTGCAGAAGCAGCAAAGTGCTCCCTGAGTCTTTGTACTAATCTTGGAACCTCGACTCCCATCAAAGCATTGTTAATGCTATTCCTGGAGAAAATGTTTCCAAAGCTTCCAGCAACTACCATGGGAATCTTCTTGGCGAGAATGGCAGTAGCAGCCTGTTCTCTAGAACTGCCACAACCAAAGTTAAAGCCGGAGACTAGGATGTCACCTTCACGAGCGATCGTGCGGAATTCTTTATCGTAGTTCTCCATGCATACTTCAGCCATCTTCTCAACCGAGACACCATCTTGATATGTATATTTGCCTGGATAGATAGCATCTGTGTTGACGTTATCAGCGTCACAGAAAACAATCTCACCCTCAACCTTTTCTGGGAAACCAGGAAGAATCTCTGTCAATGATTCGGAATCAGTTTCTTCGGGCTTTGAGGAAGTACCAAAGAGACTAGACTCAGCTCCATCAACGATCGACTCTGCTTGTGAGATAAGTTTCTCAAGCGCTTCCTCGATGCTGATAGCTTTATCTTCTTCGACATTTCCATTACCTTCCCCAAGAACAACCTTGTTCACACCAATCGGTGGCTGGTACCATCCGGGACCCGAAATATAGCCACTAAGAGCGCTGGCAGCGACAACCTCGGGACTAGCCAGATATGCCTTTGCGTCGGTCGATCCCATGCGTCCCTTGAAGTTTCGATTACTTGCGCTGATACCAACCTCGCCTGGTTCTAATAAACCAGTACCGAGTCCGATACATGGGCCACATCCTGATGGCAAAGGTTGTGCACCAGCTGCGAGAAGTGCTTGCCAGTCACCTGCTTCTTCGGCAGCTTCTTGCTCGGGAATAGAAGCAGCAGCGATATAGAAATTGACACCTTCGGGAATTTTGGGAATAGTCTTATCGGGGGAAGACTCAGCAGCATCCTTGAAAACCTTGGCAGCAGCAGCAAGATCAGATGCACGAGAGTTGGTACATGATACGAGGTATGCCTTGTTGAGTTTGATCTTTTGCGCTTCCAAATCGCGGATGGGTGTGGCAATTTTGACACTGTTGGGACCAGCAACATAAGGAGAGAGAGTCGAAAGATTGAGGTACAAAGATTTGGCGTAGGTAGCTCCCTTATCTGCTACAAGTTGGTTTTGAACCAAGTCATCGATGCGAGCATGTGTGAATCGGGGTTCTTTGCCGTTGTTTGGGGCAAACATTGCACTTGTGGTAGCCTTATATCTCAACCATTTCTCGAGGACCGAATCAATTGGAAACAAACCTGATAAAGCACCCCATTCTGTTGTCATGTTGGCAATAGTAAGTCTATCATCGATGGGTAGACTGCGCATTGTTTGTTCCGATCCCGTGAATTCGATAGCGTGGTTGAGGACGTCATCACTGTTAAATAGACCGCAAAGTGCAACAATGACATCTTTCCCTGTAACTCCGATTGGTAAAACTCCAGTGAGGGTGACTTTAGCAATTGGTGGAATCTGCCACCAGGTTCGTCCTGTTGCCCAGATACTTGCGGCATCTGTTCGTACCATAGGTGTGCCCAAGCATCCAATACCACCATACATGTTACTATGACTGTCTGAAGCAACAGTGACAGTTCCAGGCCAAGCATATCCTTCCTCTACCATAATCTGATGTCCGATTCCTCGTCCTGCGGGGTAAAAGTCCACACCTTGCTGGCGTGCAAATTCCTCAATTTGCTTGTACTTCTTAAGGTTCGTTTCGCTTTTGTTCTGTACATCGTGATCGAGAGTGCAAACAATTTGATTAGTATTGTGAATTTTGGTTGCACCAATCGACATGAATTTGGTTGCGACGGGCCAAGAATTGCTAGATATTATTAGAATCAATGAGTAGCGGTTCTGGATATGTTAACTCACTCATGGGTCATGCAGTAATGGGGTGAGAGGGTAACATAATCTGTGAAAAAATATCAGTATGTGTAAATATTCAAAGTTGATTTGATAGCAAATGAAAACCGGTAGACATAGGTCTTCCAGATCTCCTAGTGAAAAATGTTGATTCCATACCTCCAGACTTCACAACCTTATCCTTCGCAAGTCCGAGGGAATATCGTTGAACAATTTTCTCCGTGAGTGTCTGCGCAACACGAGGAGTGGTTTTTAGGGAAGATAAAATGGCCGAAGAGTTTGGATCTTCAGTCTGCGAGTGAAATACATCTTGCCAACGTCTCGCCGTCGCCGTATATGCACGATAGCCCCCGCGGAGAGCTCCCAATTCGTGTAAAGGACGGGAAGCCCTGACTCGCAGGCCCTTTGGACCAATTCTCTAGCAAAGCACTAATCAGCAAAAGAAACAATTTCAAATTAAGCTATACATACCAACAACATGGCTCAAGAATTCATTGATTTCTTTTTGAATATCGAGGAATTCAAACAATTCTCTAGATTTTATCGCACAATCGTCAGAATTCCCGATAACCTATCAACATCAAGGATTCAAAGCGGTCACTATCATTATGCCGCGCTAGTCTCATATTCGACTAGTGTACGTGTCCTGAATCGGCGTTGTTGTGATTGGTGGAGGCGCCTGTGTCTGAGCCCCCCTGTCACCAAGCGACGAATGTACTTCGTATGGAAAATCCTCAAACTGACTGAACAGCTTTTGGCTTCAAAACACTGAAGATATACACACAATTGTCGCAGATGAAGCTGTATTTTAATATGCATCTCTTTACTCAAATCTGCTTGTCCTCTTTTTGATCAACTGGCAAGAATGGTTGAAGACTTCGATTTGCCATCGACCTCGAAGCTAGCCAATGTGAAGTTAAAATTGGTCGGTTCTTGTGATTTGGTCCATTGCCTTCGATCATAACATACCGAACTCCCGATATCTCAATTTTCCTTCATCTTGAACCATGTGCATTAACCTTGCTTGTAGCTCCTTTAGTCTTTCTGGAGTGAGATCCTATTTCAAAGCAAGTGCGATGAATAAAGATGCAAATCTCTTCGCAATTACTTTACCCTTACAAGTAGATTATCATCGTTGCTAAAATAGCCCATAGCTGCAATCATGCTTGCTCCTTCTTTTCCTGATGATGCCGGCACATGAATATGCTCCCCTACATATATCAAATCTGTTTCTGCTCATTCTCTGGATATCTCAAGTCAGAAACTAATTCCAAATCGACACCGAATCCAAAACCATGAGCATTTCTCTTGATAAGAACGAATGCTACAATTTCCCAGATAACTGCGGTCCACTTTCAGCTGATATTGAGATTGAAGGAGTCGGCGTATGTTTCACTCAAGATATCAGTAGTTGAATGTACCCAACGATGTTTCTAATCTACGGGCAGATTTACATCTCCTTCCTTGCCACGGCGCTTTTAACACTCTCGGCCGCAGTTGTACGTCTTCCATGCCAACTTGCGCTTCATTCCTACGAATATGCCGAACATGCAAAGCCGGAATATCACGATTTTGATCATCAATCCAACAAAGGTACAGCAGCAAATTTGTATCACGCGGCCAAGGAGAAAGTACGAATTTGCAGACGATGGATCCTTCTCCGATATTCCAACAAGCCAAACATGCCCAGATATAGGCTCTTAAACGCGGCCGTAACTCCCCTTATCACTTCACTTGCGGATCAACAACTAGTGACAAGTTCCGCTGTCATGATTGCCGGGCTCTACAATTTTCACAAAATCAGCGCCTACCATTACAACATCATCGTGTACCTGGCTTGGTTTTCTAGCTTCACACATACAGTAGCCTTCGTTTCCATGGGCGATCATTTTTTACAAAACCATGTATTGGCAGGAATTAGATTCTGTGGATACATCGGCAATTTCATACTTTTTATCTTCGCACAGTCTCGAGCAAGAAGCTTTGGAAACACAGCTGGTATGTATAGGTCGTACAACAGTGAGCATGTATCTGGTGAAGCAGCAGCTTGTCTGGCAAGGTGTGCAGCTCAATTTCCATATCACGGCTATGATCATCAACTTCGTATCGCTACCTTATCTTTCCTTTTCTTCCAAGCATTTCTCCAATGCATTCCACAGTGCATTCGGAATGGCTTCAGTCTTTCTATTTACAGCCGGTGTTTGAAAATCCTCTGCATCACTGATCGCGAGAGATTGTGTCTGTGGCTAGCTTACGCCTTTCAGACGGTGATTGTATCGTTCTGGGTGATACCGATTCCTCCAATTTTACTCGGATTGGGGTTTGGCGTTAGACGTGCCCTTGTGTTCAGGGACATATCCCGATATCCAGGATTAGAAACCACCGAAGACTTCATCGAACAGCAAAATGCATGGACATTTGGTCAGTTCGTTGCGTGTATTCTTTTAGTCCTTCCCATAATTGCTGCACTTGAGGGTTATTTGGGTGAGTATCTAAATGCATACATTGTAAAGTTCCTCTAACGTCCAAAATAGACGAGCGAGAAAAAATCTCCGACGAAAACCGAGAAGCCGGTCTTCCAAGCCATAATTCTCAGTGGAAGCACCGTTTCAACGTACTATTGAAAGTCACACATCTTGGAAAACCACCCACAGCAAAAGACCCAGGACTTCGAAATCGCATATCTGCCTGGGCCGATAACAATAGTGTTGATCACCCCGTTGGTATAGATACAGAAAGACCCAGTATCATCGAAATGGCTTCGCGACAAAATGCTAGATTAACCCAACCCCGTGAACGTCAACTTTCATCGCCAAGTTCTCCAAGAATATTCACCCACGAGTCTGGTGAACTAGTTCTGCTTCCTCACATTAAAGAAATTTCGCTAGGGTTAGATTGTGTTGTGAACTTGTCAACATAATTTGTATACAAAGTTGCCTGTGTTGGCAACGTAAAATATTCTGTTAAAAGAATCGCTTCCAGTCGATTGTTTCTAGGATTATGGCACACTAGTTAAAAATTGTCTTCATTTAATATCATTCTCAATAAAAATGTATGTATTCGATACGGACTAATAGCTATTGGAATTCGATTATCTTAAGTTTTTAACACGCAATTGATACTCAGTCGTACCTCACTTGCTGTAATTCGAAATAGGCTTCCCTATCCTCTGGCCCCATCCCATCCAGATTCCTCCTACTTTGAATCATTTCATCCTCAGACCTCCACGCCTCAATAGCCATAATCCGCCTGCGAGCAACCATCAACTGAAAGCCCTCTATAGCCTCATAGTTCCTCTTTCTATTAAAGTGATCCCACGCAGATGCTTGCATACTCTTTTTCATCTCCAGGGCGATCTGAACGGATCGCTCTTTCGCATGTTCTTGAGCATTTCTCAGTGCTCTCCATGCTTCCTTGAATGTTTCATACGATGTCGCTGGAGAAAGGCAGAGAATCTCGGACATGTGATATTCTAGATAATTTCCTCCATTATGATTTTCATCCGAGCCTTCTTGACAAGAATGCGCGAAGAGAGTAATGCGGGACTCAGTCATCATGAGAGTGATGACGCTGGCATAACCTTGCATGTCACGCCAGAAGTATTCTCCATTGGAGAATATCTCCACATACTTAGTAGCTAGTCGTCGTTCTGCAGTCAGGAACGACCCTATATATCTTAGATCAGTCTCCTCAAGGTCCAGTAATGTATTACCTGGCGCGCACACTCCTGCAAAATGGCAAAATGCTAATGATCGTGTCTGTTCGTCCCTGATCATATCGGCTGCTCCGTCGAAACTTGCATATATTTGTTCTAGATATTCCTTGCCACCTCGAAATCCTTCGACCAGGTCCGGAGTGGGTGACTCTGAATCCGCTACTTCAGTTTTATTCCCGAATATCGTAAGCTCCTGCTGCACAACCTGACCATAGTTTTCATTTCCATTTCCGTTATCATTGTCCCAATCTTTGAAGAAGACCTTAACTGCATCTAATAATGAAGATTCGTTGCCATTTGTTGTGGCAATAGCAGACTTATATGATTCGTACAGTTCTTCGCTAGGAGGAGGACTTCCTCGGTCTTTCTGAAGTTCGTGCATCAAATACCAGTAGTTCTTTGGTCTTTCTGTCCCCGATCGATACACATTATCCGCCACATCTCTGTCGTAAAATGGTCTCTTGTTCCCCACCACCTCCTTAACCTCGTCTTGCACTTCCTTAGCTTCTGTGCTCTCCATATGTTCTTTGGATCGTGAAGTCGATATACTCTTGCATATGCAATGATTGAATGATGGCAAGTTGATGTAAGAATCGCCGAGATAATGTTGTGAAGCAACTTGATGTAACGTTATTGAAAAGTAGTATCGACAGATATACCAAGAAGGAAAATTTTAATGGGTTAGAAGTTTACAATTTATAAGGAATAAAAATTCATTAAAGATTATTCTCCATATCATACATTATTAAAAACAGATACCACGACCCGTCAATCAATAGCCACTTTGCTCCTTCCTATTGTCATCCGCCTTAGCTCCTTCACCGGCATCTTTGATAGCCTGCTCATCACCCCTTATCTTTGCAAAATGTTCTTTGATATCATCTGCACTGATAGCTTGACCACTTTCTGCGAATTTTTGGAAGAAAGGTTTGAGTTTATCCTTCAAATGATTGTATGCCATTACACCCTCAATCGCTCGAACACGATCAACATTTTTGAGAGCACTTTCGCCACGATCATATATGCTCCCGCTACCGACTGTGCTTCCTCCTTCATCTCCGTCTTCTGATACTGGAGGCTCATAAGTTTCTTCCTCTTCGAGGAGCTGTGGATATTTTGCTAGTGCTGGGAAGCAGTCTGAACAATGACAGAGGTGATCACGAAAGTCGGATGTGAAAAATAATGAAATTTGACCATCGATTGCTTTTGGTAATGCCTTCAATTTGCATGCTGGAGGTTTGCTATCATCGTTGCCGTTAAAACCTTTGTCCACTGACCTCTCCCCCTCCTCGCTCTTGATCCGCTTCGAAGCTGAAGAAGAAATCGAAATATTGTCATCGTCTGACTTGCGCTTCCTAGATTCTGAGATCGATGGCGCAAGGAAATTTGTAGACTTTGGAGGGATCTCACTTTCAGGAGAAGGAGCTGCACTTCTTTTGAATACAGGAGAGAGGAAACCCGGTGCACCAGCATATTTTTTGATCCATGGATTCGCATCAACACACTTGTAGCAGATAAACCCTTCAAAATCGTCTTCGTCGGGAAATCCTGGAGGTAGGGGTGGGTCTTCTTCCTCCTCTTCTTCGTCTTCTTCTTGGTCGACCGCTGCATCGGATTTCGGTGCCTGGACTTCACTTGATTTCTCGTTCGTTCCATCTTTGATTGGTTCGATTGCAATTGATTCTGTAACTTCTGTGGTAGATTCCAGCGTGCCTTCATTATTTCTTTTGGATTTCTTTGGCGAGTCTTCATCACTCATACTCTCGTACCAATTTGGTCCTAAACCTGTAATGCATCCAGGATGCCACCAATCCTCGCCACAGCCACCTTCATCAGCACCACTTAAACCCAAGCATTGAAACATTGTGCCCTTCTCTTTATAAGCATCATAGTCGCATCCGCAACCACAAAATCGATTTCTGAAATTGTGATTGTATTTGTTTTTCAGTTCTGGAGCCTCTGAATGTACATTGCCCTTTGTATTTGTCTCTGAGTTGATGCGCAAGCTACAAGGCGAAGATTTTGGGAAACGTGTTGTGCCGCAATCGCAAGTAAAGTTTCGTTTATTGAATAGTTCCACGAGATTGTGCTCGCCATGACATTGTATAGAACAGGAATAACAGACCCCAGCAGGATTATACGGATCAGATGCGTTAGATGGAGCAGGATTGCATGTCAAACAAGCAAATAGAATTTGTCGAAGAGATCCGAGAGGCTTTGTGCAGGTATCAATACTCTATTCAAGCCAATCAGTAAAGGTTTCAAGCAATTGAAAGGTAGCCCTGTAATTACATATGGTAATGCTTCGCGCGCTTCCGCTTCGAGCTTCAGTTGCGTGCTGATGAATCTGGTTTATATATATGAGTATCTAATTCAATCGCGAATACCGGTAGGAATGGAAATTGCATACTCAGCTGCTGTATGTGAATCGTTCGACTTCTGAGAAGAGAAACTATGACTTCTTGAGGCGCCACCGGTTTCATTTAAGGAGGCCTCATTCGACTGAGCATCTGGTAAGTTTTCCATTATTAACTCGAGACGTCGAATACAAAAAGAGTTGTAAAAGGTAAATTAATTGAATTATTAAGTAGAGGTGGTTTGTCGCAATGATGCGGCCGCCAAAACGCCAAAAACCACTTTACGCGCTCGGCCTTGTAATGGGTTTAGCTTGCCGCGTCGCGTACGGACGGCAGATTTTACGTGTTTTCCCCTACCATTAATTTATGCAAGCACTTCAACTTTGCTCAAAGTGAACTTCAGCACAATTAACAACTCGCACTCATTTAACTTTACTTGTAACGTTTTCTAATACTTCACGAGACTTCAGTCTCTCAATATACTATGAGGTGAGAACTATTTGCTCAAGCATAACACCCGCAGCTCTGAATCATTGTTTACCCCTGAACTCTATTGACTATTTGTACCCAATAGTTCCCCTCTGCGAAATAACATGTCATCAGCCAACCGTGGTGTCGACGGGAGTCGAAATCGTCGCAAGCGCTCCAGAGAACCAGAAGATGATGATTTACCGGGCGGTGCCGCGCCTTCTAGTCCGCCTGGAGATTTCAGATCCTCCCCACCAGCACCAATCCGGCACGGCGTCGAAGACGAGGATGATGACGAGATAGAGGATGATGTTGAGATTGCTGTCGATATCGATGATGCAGATGAGATGGCGGAAGATGAGGATGGAATTGATCTCTTCGCTGGAAATTATGAACGAGATTACAATGCCCGGGACAATACAAATTACGAGGGTGCGGATATTGACGACGAAGGAGAATATGATGAACTCGACGCTGCGGCCAGAAGACAACTCGAAGCCAGATTGAATCGCCGTGATAGAGAGCTTGCTAGACAGCGTCGTATGCCAGCTGCTTTCTTGCAAGATGAAGACGAAGATGGTGACTTGGATTTAATGAATCAACCAAGACGTAGACGCCATCATTATGATGAAGACGAAGATGAAGACATGCAAGAGGATATTATGGAAGAGGAATTGTCTCTTGAGACTTTACAGGACGTTAAGTCATCCAGTCTGGTCGAGTGGATTGCTACACCTTCCGTTCAAAGAACTATTCGGAGAGAATTCAAAGCTTTTCTTACCGAATACACCGATGACCATGGAGTTTCTGTTTATGGTAGCCGCATCAAGACACTAGGAGAGATCAACGCAGAATCATTAGAGGTCTCATACGACCATTTATCCGCCTCAAAAGCCATCCTTGCATATTTCTTGGCTAACGCTCCGGGCGAGATGCTTCAATTATTCGATGAAGTTGCCATGGAGGTGACCCTTTTGCATTATAACGATTATCAACAAATCCACTCCGAAATTCACGTTCGAATTACTGATTTACCCGTTCATTACACTCTACGACAACTTCGTCAAACACATTTAAATTGTCTTGTTAGAGTCAGTGGTGTGGTTACTCGCCGAAGTGGTGTATTTCCCCAATTGAAATATGTCATGTTCGACTGTTCCAAATGCCATACAAGACTTGGCCCTTTCCAACAAGAGTCTAATGTCGAAGTTAAGATTTCTTTCTGTGCAAATTGTCAATCTCGTGGTCCTTTCAACCTTAACTCAGAGAAAACTGTCTATCGCAATTATCAAAAGTTGACCCTTCAAGAATCCCCGGGCACTGTTCCAGCTGGCCGTCTGCCCCGTCACCGTGAAGTTATTCTTCTCTGGGATCTTATCGACAAAGCCAAGCCCGGCGAGGAGATTGAAGTCACGGGTGTTTACCGCAATAACTACGATGCTCAATTGAACAATCGAAATGGTTTCCCTGTATTTGCAACAATATTGGAGGCCAATAATGTTGTCAAATCTCACGATCAACTTGCTGGATTCAGACTCACAGAAGAAGATGAGCATGAGATTCGCGCACTTTCTCGGGATCCTCAAATTGTGGATAAAATTATCAATTCAATTGCTCCAAGTATTTATGGCCATACTGATATCAAAACAGCCGTGGCCCTGTCACTTATGGGCGGAGTTGCCAAAGTCGCTCAAGGAAAGCATCATATCCGTGGTGATATCAATGTACTACTTCTTGGAGATCCCGGAACAGCAAAATCTCAAGTTCTAAAGTATGTAGAAAAGACGGCTCACAGAGCTGTCTTTGCTACTGGTCAAGGAGCTAGTGCTGTTGGTCTCACAGCAAGTGTACGCAAAGATCCTCTTACTAGCGAGTGGACCTTGGAGGGTGGCGCTTTGGTGCTTGCAGACAGAGGAACATGTCTCATCGATGAGTTCGACAAGATGAACGATCAAGATCGAACATCCATTCACGAAGCTATGGAACAACAAACTATTTCCATCTCCAAGGCTGGTATCGTCACAACACTCCAGGCTCGATGTGGTATTATTGCTGCTGCAAATCCAATTGGTGGACGTTACAATTCGACCATCCCTTTCTCACAAAACGTTGAACTCACCGAGCCCATTTTGTCTCGTTTCGATATTCTTTGCGTTGTTCGTGATACTGTCGATCCAGCAGAAGATGAAAGACTTGCCAGATTCGTCGTAGGTTCTCACGGTCGTTCTCATCCAGGAAGCCAACCTACAGATGAAAATCAAGCCTCCATGGAAACGGAGCATGACGCCGAATTGCGCGATAGTGCTATTAATGGTGGCGAGCCAAAACAAGAAGGCGAGATCAAGCAAGAATTACTTCGAAAATACATTCTTTATGCTAGAGAAAGATGCAGTCCAAAGCTATACAACATCGATGAAGAGAAAGTTTCCAAGCTCTTTGCAGATATGAGAAGAGAATCGTTAGCGACCGGAGCTTATCCTATTACTGTAAGTATATACATTCTCTCGTCCCATGCTATATTGCTAACATGCCCCTTAGGTGCGCCATCTTGAAGCTATCATGCGTATCAGTGAAGCATTTTGTCGAATGAGACTCTCTGAATATGTCTCTGCGCAGGATATTGATCGAGCGATTGCTGTCACGATTGATTCTTTCGTTGGGAGTCAAAAGATTAGTTGCAAGAAAGCACTCGCCCGTGCTTTTGCGAAGTATACACTTGCAAGACCCGGTGGCGGAAGGAGGAACAGGAATTCCGAGAGAGGACAGAGGGCGGCTACTGCGACAATGGCTTAAACGCGAATATGAAGACACGAGTGTATCTAGGGGAAACGAACGCTATGGTTTTTTTGTCTTTGATTTTCTGGTCAAGAAGATCCAGGTTATTGAATGGTCAGAAATTAAGATTTGACAGTCTATTCATGTTGCATGAATGAGGTCAGTATGGAGTTTTGCCAGCGGATTAGTTCACGGTTGTACAGCCTGGTTATGATATAATGAATAAATATACCATGTTTGCCGCGTCCCCTTCATGGACAAACGATGTTCCTGGTCGAATGGATGTGATGGATGTGATTCACATCACTGAGTCCAGTCACATTTCTGAACACAATAAGCCTTGCATTGCATCCCATCATGGCTCAGGACATTGAACAGAGTTAATTCTGAAGGCACTTACTGACTGAGGGACCATGCCAAGGACCAACGCGTGGCTCGGCCTATCGATTGCCGACAAGAGGCGGAACATCCTACCCGCACCTGCCGCATAACTTTGACCCTCCAAATTCAACCCAATTTTTGACTGACTGACATCTGACTGATATCTTCCATTGACCCACATATTAGACTTGCATGTTGATCATTCACCCTAAACATGACTTCCCAGCTCTTATTTCCAAACGGAACCTACTCTTCCGCGTTTATACTTCACTTTTTTCTCCGAAGAAACTCCGCGCCCGAATATTACCCGTGATTTTAACTATCTAATAAATCAGAACTAGGGAGGAAGCGTCTTGACACACCAATAGTAACAGGAATATCCGTCGTAGGATATTGGCAAGAGCGGATGAATCGATGATGTGACAAACGAGGGTACACAAGCGTGAACAAGCGTGATGCAGGGCCGACATTCCATAAGCATTTAGGAAGCTTCCTTCCAGGTTTGAGTAGGGACACATGTACTCTTGTACTCTTTCCATAGATCATTATATATCCAGTTGTTTTTCAGTCTCTTCAGTCTTGAATTCTGATCAAATTACTCGAGTCACTTCCAATGCTGAATATCACTTCTTAAAATCTCATAATGACAAACAAATTCGATGTGGAGGATGTGCTTTCAAAGCTTGACAATGTGGAAAAGGTTTCTCTATTAGCGGGTGCGTATATCCAGCATCTCTATAACTCTCAAAGTCACGATATCTAACAAATATCTAGGTGCTGATTGGTGGCATACCGCTGCCATTCCCAAGTACAATGTGCCTTCCATTCGAGTGTCAGACGGTCCCAATGGTGTACGTGGTACTCGGTTCTTTAACGGTATCACAGCAGCTTGTTTTCCTTGCGGCACTGCTCTTGCTGCAACATGGGACACTAAGCTCCTTCATCGTGCAGGGGTTTTGATGGGAGAAGAAGCGAAAGCAAAAGGTGTACATGTTATCCTTGGGCCCACCATCAATATGCAAAGATCGCCTTTAGGAGGCCGTGGCTTTGAATCTTTCAGTGAAGATCCTGTATTATCGGGAATAGGCGCTGCTGCACTTGTTAATGGTATTCAAGAGACCGGTGTTCAAGCTACAATCAAACATTTTGTTTGTAATGATCAAGAGCATAATAGGAATGGTGTTAATGTTATAATCACCGAAAGAGCATTGAGGGAGATATATTTACTACCATTTCAATTGGTGATTAGGGATTCGAAGCCGGCATTATTTATGAGTGCCTATAACAAAATTAACGGGACTCACGTTAGTGAAAATCCAAGGATCCTCAAAGATATTTTGCGCGGAGAATGGGGCTGGAATGGATGTATTATGAGTGACTGGTGGGGCACATACTCAACTACGGGTGCTATCAATGCTGGTTTGGATTTGGAAATGCCAGGTTCAACAAAATGGAGGGGTCCAATGTTGATACAAGCTGTCAGCACCGGAAAGGTACCTCAACATGTTCTTGACGAACGAGCAAGGAACGTGCTCAATACTGTCAACCGTGCTGCAGACGCGAATGTTCCCGAAAATGCGGAGGAAAAGACAGCGAATACTCCAGAGACAGCTGCTCTTCTTAGAGAAATAGCTGGTGACTCGATTGTGTTGATGAAAAATGAGGGTAGCATATTGCCATTCCGAAAAGATAAAAAGGTAAAATACGATATCCAGTTGTGATGTTGCACCAAATTCAAGCTAATATCTATAGACTCTTATTGTCGGTCCCAATGCCAAAGTTGCTACGTTTCATGGGGGCGGATCAGCATCCCTTGCAGCATATTACGCTGTTACACCATTTGACGGTATTAGTGCACAGCTGGAATCAGCTCCATCCTACACCGTAGGAGCTTACGCACACAAGGATCTCCCATTGCTAGACTTAGTTCTCAAGACAGACAAGGGAGAAAGAGGTTTCTCTTTTCGAGCATATAACGAGCCACCAACAACTGAAGATAGAGAGCTAGCGGATGAGTTAATACTCACTAAGACAGAGCTCTTAATGATGGATTATGAATGTCCCAAGCTGAAGGACGAATTGTGGTGGGCTGATGTTGAAGGATATATGACTGCCGAAGAGGACTGTGAGTTTGAATTCGGCTTAGGAGTATATGGAACTGCGAATCTGTATGTGGATGGCAAACTAGTCATTGACAACACAACGAAACAGACCAGGGGAACCATGTTTTTCTCGTGTGGTACAGTTGAAGAGCGAGGTGTTGTATCACTGAAGAAAGGACAAACTTACCATCTCAAAGTTGAGTTTGCTAGTTCACCAACTTGCAAGCTGGATAAAGGAAATAATGTCCTATTTGGTCCTGGTGCCATACGACTTGGTGGCGCCAAAATCATTGATGCGGATGAGGAAATTGCGCGTGCAGCAGAACTGGCCAAAGATGCCGATCAAGTAATCATTTGCGCCGGTCTAAACGTGAGTCATCTCCCATCTATGCAAGGAACGTTTCTAACAATTTTTTAGTCTGACTGGGAAGGCGAAGGAGCCGATCGGGAGATATTCGGTCTCCCATTGCACATGAATAAATTGATCTCGACCCTCACCCCCCTCAATCCCAACACAGTCGTTGTAATTCAATCTGGCACTCCCGTCGCCCTCCCTTTTCTTTCTACAACTCCCGCTCTTCTTCAAGCCTGGTATGGAGGCAACGAGACCGGCAATGCTATCGCTGATGTCATTTTCGGTAAAACCAATCCCTCGGCGAAATTACCTTTATCATTCCCAAAGAGAATTGAAGATAACCCAGCCTTTTTGAGTTTTAGATCTGAGAGGGGTAGAGTCATCTATGGTGAAGACATTTACATGGGCTATAGATGGTACGAGGCACTAAACTTACCTGTTCTGTTCCCTTTCGGCCACGGACTCAGCTATACCACATTCGCAATATCTGATTTGAATGTCGAGAAAATTGATAAGAAGATTAAGATCTCGGCAAAAGTCAAGAATACGGGAGAAGTTTCAGGAGCAGAGGTCGTTCAAGTTTATGTCCAGCAACAAAATCCATCTATCCGCAGGCCAAATAAAGAATTGAAGGGATTCGAGAAAGTATTCCTGGAGGCCGGAGAGGAGAAGAAGGTGGAGGTTGAGATTGAAGTTAAATATGCGGCAGCGTTTTGGGATGAAGTTAGAGAGGCTTGGGTTGTGGAGAAGGATGTATATGATGTTCTTGTGGGTAATACCAGCGAGTTGACTGGAGAATTGAAGGCAACATTTGAGGTAGAGAGGACGGAATGGTGGAATGGTTTGTAGATCGGAGTTCGCAAGAGCGAGGATTAGACGGTTCAGCTTCATTGCTAGGTGCATATCTTATTGATCGGTGATGATTGCTGGCATTATATCTTGAGACAAGAGATGGTCACCTTAGAGGATTCATTCCATATTCAATATCTACATATTCCCACTCATATCGAGATGAATTACATGTCGAGACAATGGTCTCGTGTATTGCCTGTGTATTTCTCAATCTCCAAACTCATGACTGTTACGTATTCCAAGTAGTTTCAGTCCCTTTCAAGGCTTTCCATTATTATTTTGATCACTTATCACAGTTCTACTTTCTAGGGTCGATACCTCCAGTTCTTGACCATAATTTATTTCAAAATTTGCCAGTGAAGATGCTCGCTTCTATGTAATTGCGTATAAAGATGAAACACTCCAACTTAGCCATCTGATGGTATTTTCCGCCGGCACTTGAGACCAGATGAAGTTTGATCGGCTAGCTTCATGTAGATATTGTTATTTACATCAACTTATCTGATTGTGGAGATGCATATAAATTATGAGACATTGTTTTGCAGAATAGGCTCTTGCGGTTTGAGAATGCGGAGTGTGAAGGTGGGAATTCATTGATTTCTTATATCTGTACAGACTATGGGAGGAACTCTGATGAGTGATTTGAGTTGATTGGATGGAAGGTTTCACTATACTAGATTTTTTGGGAAAGGGAGATAATTGGGTTGGGTTGTGATGATGTCATTCCAGGCAGAGGGGAGAAAAAAGGATAGTTCATTAGGAGTGATGCAGAGGATAGATCCGTATCTAGTGCGGACTGGGATTCCGCGAGTTAGGGAGATGATTAAGGGGATGCGAGAGGGAGACGAGAGGAAGACTAGGTTCTAGGACAAGAGATGTGAGGAAGAAGATGGATAGTCAGGTTGTAATGAATGGTTGATAAGATGTATCGTTCCTATTGAAAAATGCTTTCTTGGATTATAAAAAACATGGCTTCGAGGACGAAGGAGAATGTGGTTCCTTAGACTGAGCTTAGGTCCAGCGTTCCAAGAGTATTATATCAAAAGTGATAATTGGGAGTTCCATAGCCCAAGTTTGATTTCACATATAAATTGGGAATTAGATCTTTGTTTTAAGCAACAGAGCTAGGCGTTGGTTTGATGTTGGTAAGATCCACTCGGGACTGGCTTGTCTCACTCTGGACGGAAAAACGGGCACATCAAAGCCGCTAAATTCAAGACTTTCTTCAAAACACTATTAATTCAAAATTCAATAATAATTTGAAATAATATAGTAAATTAAATATAATAAAATCATATTATAGAATATCAACCTGTAAATAATCTGCTTCAAACAAAAATTAAAAATATCGATTATTGATTTAAAAATGAATTTTGGAAGTGATAACATATTTTTGGTGTGTCCGTTTTTCCGTCCAGAGTGAGCTTGTGTGCAAGTATCTGCGGCGCAGGTTGTTGATCTGTTAGAATTTAATTTAAACCTGCAACTTGCTGACATGGAAATTCGCAAGTGTACCAACTAAATAGAGAAATTCTTAGTCTAAACTTGATGCAGATCTCTTCCGGACTTTGGAAGCAAATTTTACTCGGGAACGATAATGAACACAAATTGTGGCCCTAGGAGTAGTTTTCTAGTGACGCTTTTGTAATTTTGAAGAGGATATATTAAAATATAAGCTTTGAGAATCTAGAATTCGAGAATTCAATTATGGAGAATTTTCCAGAGGCGTCCCTTATCTGTACTCTGCAGTCTTTCCTTCACACCAATCCCAGAATTTCTTTGCTGTCCCACTTCCTCCTTCATTAGAACCTTTTAAAGCAAGCAACAAATCCTCTCTTGGGCCCGGATGTATCCGTCCCCAAGGAACCACACACGCTCCATTATGTTCCATCTTCAACCCCTCCGACAATCCTGCCCAAAGCTCTGTATACGCTCCCATCTTCGCCTTATACAAGAGCGGCCAAGCAGCATAATACATCGATTTCGCATTTCTCATCAAATTCGTCTTCAAATTACCCGGATTCTGTGACACGCTCAAAATCCCAAACTCGCCAACCTCCTTCGCCAATTCACTAGCCAAGAACCAATTGCCGATTTTAGAATTATTGTAATTCTTGACTTGATCTTTGGGGGGAGTATCAAGTTCAGACATGATGATTCCATCTTTGGGAGCCGTAAGCTCTGAGAATTGAGAATGTGTCCAGACCACACGGGTAGCACCAGGCTTGGATTCTTTTGCCGCAGCTTTCAGGCACGGGAGAAGATACTGAGTGAAGAGAAACGGACCTAAACAATTTGTGGCCATTTGAAGCTCAAAGCCTTGTTTAGATACGCTACCTAATGCTGGTTGCGAAACACCTGCATTATTCCAGAGGACATTGAGCTTTGTCTCTTTTTTCATGAAGGACTCGGCAGACGATTTAATCGCACTCAGATCATCCAAATCCAGAGGAAGGAATTCAAGCTGGCCAGATAATTTGGATGTTGATGATGATTTGATATGCTCGATGCATTTTTGAGCGCTGGTTTCTGAGCGTCCAGCTATGTAGACTTTGCCGCCAGCCCTGTAGAGAATAGTAGCCAGTTCGAGACCGACGCCTGATGTTCCACCTGTGATGATGAAGACTTTGCCCGTTTGACTGGGTAAGTTTTTCTCTGTCAGGGTGGGAGTGGGGGGGAAGAATTGCGAGAAGGTGACACCCATGGCGAATTTCAATCTGCAGAAGGGAGATTGAGCTGGAAGGGTGGTTTGTGGCACTCTTAGTCTAATCGTAGCAAATTTTCGACACAGCGTTTCAGAGACAAGGAAATCTCAGAACGAGTTTGTGAGATGATGGTGTGTTTATTTATCGAGTTGGTAAGACGCGAATTTGTTGGTGTTGTGTTGGTGTTAAGTTGGTAAGTGTGTGGTGACGATGCTGTCAGCATGGCAGGGGTAGCTTGTTGCCATTGCATTGAATGTAGATGTGATTGAGAATTAATAGCTCCCGAGGTCTGCAGCAGTGATTTTTAATTCTTACCATTTTTTCGCCTTAAGACAATTCTGCAGTTAGGGGAATCCCTTCATCTAGATATAGCTGTGTTGCTTGCATTGCTTGCTTGAGATATCATAGCCTAAAATGCCCATTGTCTGATATGGCAACACCATAAATAATTTTGCGTCTTTGCCTATTCACTACCACATGAAATCCATAAATCTTGTATTACTAGACTATAACTGCGTTGCAATTCCTTTTGATTTAACGGTAAGTCTTGTGTTTCAGATTTCCAGGTGATTCTTCATTGTCGAAATGCCAACTCTAGTTGAAGAACAAGACAATCTGACATAGAGATCCAAACTCGCGATTGCATATTAGCTTTTCGAAAACTTACACCGCAATTTAACGTGATTACGACTGACAGCTTGATGCAACAGTCTAGTGGAATGGTTTTATAGGGCATCGAATCCATCGTTTATCGCATGTCGATAACCGGTGTCACCACAGGGCCATGTAAGAATATATGCTATAGAGAAGATTTACTTGCTCCTCAAAGAGCTTGAAAACTTTGACACTTCGACCAGGGGACCGAGATGACATGTATTCCACACCACACCATGCTGAGATGTAACTTCGTCTGGGGTTCCAATGCGAGTAGCAAATGATGGAAGTGTCGAACTCAAAGCTCAAGCTTGTTGTCCCTTGCCTATGCTTTGAAAGTGTATCAAAGATAGTGGACAGCCCTAAGTCGCACATTTACCATAATAGCATTAGCAAGGGCACTAGGCTAGTAGAAATTGTTTATCATAATTGCTTCTCCATCCACACAGTCTAGCACCTCAGACAGAATGCAGTATTGACAAGCAGAATGGACACATAACGGGGTGGCCTGCGATTCTTCGTGGCTCTTCACTGGGAAATGAAAGGTCCAGAAAGACTTGTTCTACAACAGCAATAGAAGTAGGAATGTCCGTGGAACGCTGTTCGTATTCAATGATAATGCGTTTGAGAGGCTCACAAGTGTGTGAATTTCAATATACCAGATGAAGGAATTGATCATCAAGCTGCACCAGCACTAGATTTTCATGATCAGCCAGGTGGTGAGGAACTATGATACCGGTGGAATGTCGGATGTTGGCATGGTGGATATTGAAAATGAGGTAACTTGTTCAGCAGCGTTGCAAGATTCTGAAGAACAAGATCTCTAAGATGGGGATAAATATGGGGAAAGTCTGAATGATGGACCCTAGATGAAGGAAAGTAAGTGGACGCTCCTCGTAACAATTTCGGTATGTAGGAATCGACGAAAGAGGAAGCGGTCTCGACCCATCCATCATATGCGAGTGTACTCTCTCGTTACATGAAATCAATGATTCTCATAAGACTTAATCAGGACTTCATGAGTACGTCAGAATCATAGTATAAATATACCATTGATAGGTAGCAGGGGTTCAGGGCAACATATGTAATTTCGTTGAGGCCCAGTTGAATTGATGATGAAGATATGGCCATATGGCAAATGTACGTTACCTTTAGCATGATGACTTGCATTGCATTCGATATCTATATCAATTGAACAGACAGGTTGTGGGAATATATAATGGCAAGGTTCCAATAGTGTAGCACGACAAACAAATATGGTTGTTCTAGCCACATCCCCACACCACACACTCGCCTAGCCAGGCCCGCCCCACTTCCCCGCTTACCTAGGTACTAGTGACACAAGAGGGACTTCTGATTTCCACCTCGTCCACCATCTCGGTCTTAAATGCTGGAATTGCGAAGTTACCAAGATATGGGTCCTAGAACGTCGTTGGACCATCGCAGCATAGCAACCCCACACAAACCCCATTCTCCATACTCCAGAGCCTGAATTAGCGTATCAAGTGGTGTGGATATGCACCCCGCCAACTCCAGCCCCCAGGTATTGGGGGCTCTATGAAAGTGTGGTATTCTTGGCATAAGGTGCTATCTTTCGGCTTCTATTTGTACGAAATGTATCGGTAGTGTCCCGTAAATGGTTGCCGGTTGATAGAGCGTTATGTTGGTTATGTCCAAGACTGTGGCACTAGCAGCGGTGTGAGAATTTAACCAGAATTAACGCTCTCAAAATGAGAAACGTTCGCTACTTAATGCAAAGCAGATCCTCTCTGGCTCTGGCAGTAGTTCTTGCAGACTTATCTTGAGGTAGCAAGGAAACCTTCTGATAACATTTTCCGAGACAACACCAAGAAGTATCTGCTTTACAAGGAGCTCTCTTGATAGCTGACGATGGGCAAGGCGGTGACTATTGGCACAGGTCTTTTCCTGTCGATTGGAGGTAAATTAAACAATGTTCCGAATCGCTACGAGGAAAGACATTTTCTGACATATCTCTTTCAGGTTTCCTCTTTGGTTATGATAGTGGTATTGTTACCTCCACAATTGGGCAGCCAGAATTCATTTCATACTTTGGAGAACTAGATTCATCGACCGAGGGCGGAGTGGTTTCTTCCTTCACTGGCGGTGCGATCTTAGGAGCACTCACGATCTCATGGCTGGCAGATGGTTTAGGAAGGAAGAAGACCATTGCGCTCGGAGGTGCCATATCTGCCTTTGGGTGTGCACTTCAAGCGGGTGCTGCCAATGTTGGCATGCTTATCGCAGGTCGTGCGATTGCCGGTATAGCTGTTGGTATTCTCTCAGCTCTAGTTCCAATGTACTGTTCGGAAATTGCTGAAGCTTCATATCGTGGCGCTTTGAGTGGACTTTTACAATTCATGCTTTCATGGGGATATTTTGCAGCTCAATGGATCGGATATGGATGCAACTATACCACGTCTAGTTTTCAATGGCGCTTCCCCTTAGCATTCCAGGTTGTCCCTGGTCTATTCCTAGCCATCGGAACTTGGTTTTTGCAAGAATCTCCTCGATGGTTGATGGAGAAGGATCGACAAGAAGAAGCGAGAGAGGCTCTTTACAAATTACACGGCGATGGTTCAAACGACGAGTACTTGGAACTGGAGTTTGCTGAAATTCGAGACACAATCATTGCAGAAAAGACAGTAGCAGTGAAATCATGGTCCGGACTCGTTGCGAAAAAATCATGGAGACATCGACTCATTCTGGGATGTGGAATCCAAGCATGGGGTCAACTATCAGGCATTAACGTTATCAACTACTACGGAGTCACCATCTACAGTCTTTTGGGTATTGACACTCGCACTTCCCTCATGATCATCGGCATCTCTGGCTCTCTTTCCATTGTTTACTGTGCACTCGGTTTATATTTTTTGGAAAGACTTGGAAGAGTCAAACCAATGGTTTTCTCGGCCACTGGTTGCGCATTGGCTCTGTTGGTCAACGCAGTTCTCAGTCAATACTATGTTGTCGGCGGACAGCAATCAACCAATACCAATGCATTACGGGCAATGGTGGCCATGAACCTTGTCTTCTCATTCTTCTATACATTCACTGGAATTATCAGTTGGGTCTACCCTGCCGAAATTTTCCCCGTGGAAATTCGAGCTCGTGGAAATTCTATCTCAACCCTGACAAATTGGTGTCTTGGTCTTCTTCTGGGCCAAACTGGACCATTAGCACTCGACAATATCGGATTCAAATTTTTCTACGTCTTTTTTGTGTTTAATATTCTTGCAGCAGCATGCTACTGGATCTTCTACCCAGAGTACGTATTCTTACCACTGTGATCTAAAATTATGGTAAAAACTGACTTGTTGTATAGAACCAAGGGCAAAACACTTGAGCAGATGGACGAACTATTTGGTGATCAATTGGTTCCTCATGCCTTGGAGGATCCCACTGGCGCAGAAGCTGCGAGAACTGCAATGAACGAGAAAGGTGTTTTTGCACATGATGAAAATATTTCGTGATTATTCTAGCCTTTCAAGAAGTCGAAACACATCAGAGAGAAAATTATATAGTCGCCCATACGTTCTCACAGCATATAATCAGAATGATAGTTGTTCTACACGATCTCTTATTTTGTGCATTTGTAGACCATATCAATTGTGAAATTCTATAATGATATTTCCCGTTTTTCTCATTGTTCTACGACTTGACGCTCCCTTCGTACCTTGTCGGTAAATAGTAGCAGATGGAATCGAGAACAACTTCTCCAACTCAACTTCGATTAATATAGCAAGCGTTGCAATTCTAAGTGGAATCCAGCACCTCATCTCATGTGAATTTTCTCCACTTTCCTCCTTTCCCACTCAATAGTCATTATTGGCATTATTGTCATCAGCCCCAGCCCGAACTTGTCCCGTCCCCGCAAAATGTAGAGTGGAAGCGAGGTGTGGGGCTCGCCGTTTATTGACCCGACATCTCGCGTCCACTATCAACCAACGATGAACGACGGCTTCAGCTTTCGGCAAGTCGATATATGTTATAAGGGTTCTTTTGAAAGCGTGAAATATTAATCTGCTGGGAAGCTGACGATTAAGCTTTTTTGAGTTGTTGGTCTTGAGATTTTTCGGTGTCGAAGAGATTCAAATTATACTTATACGACACCATCTGACTTGGTTTTCGGCCAAAATGAAGATCTCATCTTGTGGTATTCATGGCTTTCATGAGACAGTAGGCATTGATAGCGATGTCTTACTTTTTCACTGGAAGCTCGAAAGTGATCGTGAAGGAGAGAAGCAAGATGCCTATCAAGTCATCGTACGCAAGGGATCTAGTTCTGGAGAAGTCCTCTGGGACTCAGGGCGTTGTGATGGGTCACAACAGAGAAATATTCGATGCGAACCTCAAGGTGGTTTTAAAAGCTGCACCTACTACGTCTGGGAGGTGACATCATGGAATCAGCATGGAGAAACCTGCGAAAAGAGTAGCGACTTCTTTACTGCCTATCCACGGTCCGATCATCTTCCTCCTCTGAGTATGAATCAAACTTATATGCCTCATACGGCATTAATCTTTCGTACCTGGTTTGAAGATATGGACAATAAATGGAAAGCATGGTGGATTGGCGACGGGGGAGAAAAGCCCCTTTATCTTCGCAAAACCATCACGCTCGAACGAAAACCGATGAGAGCTGTTGCCTTTGTCTGTGGACTCGGACATCATCAATTCAGAGTGAATGGACAAGCGGCTTCAGAGCATGTACTTGATCCAGGATGGACGGATTATCATACGACCGTTCAATACGTAGCTCATGATGTTACGGAGCGACTTTCGGTTGGAGAGAATGTGCTTGGGGCACATATTGGGAATGGTTTCTATGCTGGTGATCAAGGGGACCGGTTCTTTTGGCCAAAGTATGAAGATAATACATATGTTCGTTATGGAAACGAGCTTTGCTTTTTTGCCGAATTGCATCTTTTTTATGAAGATGGATCACATGTTGTTGAGATTTCGGACGACAAATGGAGGGTCGCACCCAGTGCAACTCTATTAGCAAATATTTATGCGTCCGAAACTCATGATCGCCGTTTATACCCGATAGGTTGGGATGCACCAGGCTTTGATGACAGTTCATGGAAACCGGCAAAAGGGCTGACAGGCCCAAGAGGCGCTCTAAAATATCAAAGTCAACCACCAGTTGTCCTTCATGAAACTTTCACGCCAATCAAGGAAATCTCTCCACGGCCCGGAACTATCTGTCTTGATTTGGGGCAAAACTCATCTATCATGACTGAGATCGAGGTTGAAGGAGAAGCTGGAAGCGAAATAATAATCAGATATGGAGAAACGACATATGAAGATGGCACAATTTGTATGCCTGATCCATTATTCAAGGAATTCGAGACAAAAGTGTACTCGAAATTCATCCTGGCCGGAACAGGTGGTAAGGAACATTGGACGCCTGATTTTTGTTTCACGAGTGCGAGATATATACAGATTGAAGGTGTACGCAATGCGAAAGATACGGAATCGAAATTACCGATCCTACATTCTGTCTGCGGTAGACACGTATCGTCCGCTTCTCCAAGACTAGGAACTATGAAAACCGACAAAGAAGACGTCAATGCCCTTCTTTCGGCATTGAAGTGGACTTTCTCGAGTAACCTCTTCAGTTACCACACCGATTGCCCCCAAATTGAAAAGTTCGCGTGGCTGGAAGTCACTCATCTTTTAGCACCTGCTACACAATACATGTGGAACATGGAATCTCTCTACACAAAGATACTAGACGACATTCTGGATGCCCAAGAGCGATCAGGTCTCATCCCTACCATGGCGCCCGAAATGAGATATATGTGTGGTCCCTTACACGACACAATCACATGGGGCTGCGCACTCATCCTCATCCCCGACATTCTTCAACGCTATTATGGAACCACAAAATCTATTGCCAAGATGTACCGAGCAGGCGAACGATATATGGCCTATATAAAAGGCAAAGAGCGTTTTGGTGGATTAATCGAACACGGTCTCGGAGATTGGGGCCGAGGAATCGCGCATGGAAATGCACAAGCAAATATTGAAACAGCCATATATCATGAATGTCTACTCTGCATGTCGCGATTTGCTTCGCACTTAAATTTAGACGATGAGAAAAAGATTTGGGAGAAAGAAGCAAAGAGAATTTATGATGTGTATAACAAGCATTTGTTAGTAACAGACGATCCATCTCGTCCTCACGCTTACTATACATCTCGGGACGACTACCCCAATCGCGATTGTGACGCTGTATGTCAAGCTCTCGCTCTCCAATTCAATATGGTCCCCGAAGCGCACATCTCTGCCGTCCAAGCATCATTTCTCTCCGATGTCTCGGATGGCAAATTGCGCTCTGGAGAAATCGGTCTAAGGTATCTCTTTAACACGCTTGGAGATCTAGGACGATCTGATTTAGTGCTGCAAATGGCGAGACAGGAGGAACATCCTAGTTACATGCGCTTTTTACGTAGAGGAGAAACTACTCTACTTGAGTTCTGGCAGGATGAATGTAGGAGTAAGTGTCATGATATGTTGGGGAGTATTTTGGAGTGGTTTTATGTCTATGTCTTGGGCTTGAAGGTTGGGGAGAAGGGATGGAGAACTTTCACTGTGGCTCCTGATTACCATAGCGAGTTTGGTACTGTGGAAGGAGAGTTTGAGAGCCCTTACGGGATGATTAGATTGAGTTGGGGTAAGATAGGTAGTGGGATTGAGATGAAGTTAAGTGTACCCGTTGGATCAACAGCTACGGTCGTTTTGCCCAAGGATAATTGTCATGTTTTGATTTGCAGACAGCGTTCAGATGATAAGGAGTGGGCCGAGCAAGGCAACAGGGTTGAGCTTGAACATGGAACTTATGCACTACATTTCTCGATATAAACTCATGTATTTGGGCAATATACGATAGTTGAAAATGCCTTAATATGTTAATAATCAACTTTAATGATTGTCGATTCCTCTTTCACTCGTTCAAGCTCCATTCCAATCTCCGGCCCATAATCAGAACCAATTATCTCGTTCGGTGCCTTCCAAGTCTTGGTTCCTTTCTCGCTAAAGTTGTCTGCGTCACATGAGTCTAAGAAAATTCTGCGAAGTATTGGTTACATGGAGTAGCTGAGATAGAATGAACGAGATGAAGTAATCGACGCACAAGCAGTTATACATGGCCTAGGTTATTTGGTCAAAGGTGTAAAGTTCAGATTAAAGGATCATCAACGTCCAAAAATGTTTCTGAAGAACTGAGAGCTTCAGAGCAGAGAAAGCGGGCTTGAGATTGTCGAGTTTGAATATGCAATTCTTTGAATGGAGATTTCATTTGTAAAACTATAAAATAAGATATAAATTCTCTTGGCAAATTATACTTCTAGGATGTGATTCTCAACATGATCTTATGCTACATGTCAGTATGAGGACCTTATATTTGCGGCACGATCTAGAATTTCTGTATCTAATACTATCTATGATCGATTACGAAAGCCTGATGTTCTTTGTTTTCATCTTGTAATACAAAGACTATTAGTTTGACAAGCTTTCGGAAGATATAATATACCATTAATAATGTATTAATCTGCATTCAAGTATTAAGCCTTGATAAGGCTACATGATGAAAAGTAAAAATTTTAGAAGGATGATATCAGCACCAATAATTGATATATTGAAGTGATCATGTCAGATAATAACTCTCTGGCCTATTGTCACTTAGTAGATTTAAAGGAATCACTGCTCTGATAACAAGAGATTTACTTCAACAACATATGACAATCGACTACACTTCTAATGCAACAAAAACATCATGTCAGAGTCCGAAATGCAATAGGAGGAATAAGGCTATTTACATTGATACATATCAATATACAAAACTAGGTGAGAACTATGAAGTCTTTGGCTCCTTCCTGAAGAACCACAAACTACTGTGGAGGCTGGAAAGACCTTTGAAATACTACAAAGTTGACCTAGATATGTACCATCAAGAATTCTTAACCAACTATCAGTATTGAATTTTATAAAGTATTGCTTATTACACTTGCTACTGTCAAGTGACTGAAACAAGACGGAAGCTTTACTATCCTTCATTGATACTTATATATCAGTTCTAGGATTTCAATCCTTATCAGAAGGTAGAGAGAACTTTCTCCAACTGTCATAGAATCCAACCAGCTACTAAACAGACATACAGAAAACACAAGCCAGACGATAACTCTTCAATGTGTAATTCACACTTGAACCTTCACACAATACAGACCTCACTCATTGTCCATATGAAATAGTCAACCCTAGGATCCAGGCTTTGATGGCCTCAGGACAACTTAATCCATTTGGCAAAAGCGGTTAGCTTGGTTCAGTTTCTCCCACAACAATTCTGAACTTGTTTCTATCCTCAAAAACAATTAACAACAACAACATCAACAACATTGGCTTTTCTTCAACTGATTTTGGTGGTTGTTCAATATTCGAATAGTGTTCGCCTCAGGCTACACTTTTTTCAACTCTTCTTAATTAAAATTCTGCCATTGTCGGTTCTGTCACCGCTCGGACCCTCTGATTTCCATCATGGATAGCTCTATTAACAGAAGCTTATCCCCTCCAACCCCATTCCCTACTCTCGAAACAACCACTACTCCTCTTCCTACCACCACTCCTCTTCCTACCACCAATCTACCAAGTAGAACAAGATCGAGATCAGATACACTTCGTTCATCAACTGAGCGTCCTCAATTAGAGGATTTAATCCCAGTATCGCGCCGCGATTCAATTAATTCAAATACATCCGATTCAAGCCTTTTGAACGCAGAACTCGAACGCCTTCGCGCAGAGGTCATTCGGCACGATCGAGAGCTTCAAGATTCTGGCATCGGTCTTGGAATTTACGGAGAAGAAATCGCAGCAGAAACTGAAAGTGAGGAATTTAGTTATCGTGGAGTTCAGAGCGCACGACCATGTAAGTTCAGATCGAAACACTTGCGCCTCGATTATTTACTAATTATCTCTTAAAGCTCCTCGTCTGCCATCAGTTCGCAAGCCACTTCCAGTTGTTGAACACCCTCTTACTACTGATTTAAGAGCCCGTCGTCGTGGATCGGTCATTCACCATTCTCGATCATCTTCCGTCTCTTCACTCCCTTCTACTGAAGACCTTCGAGCCTTTCCAGAGCTCGACTACAGACCCATTGTACAAGAGCCTTTCCACAATCAAATCCCACTCACTTCTTCTACCTATAATCTTCCTCAACTCACCTCTGCGACATACGTCCCCCCACCTCAAGCACCCAAGGCACGTAAGGATCGTAAGATGAATTATCAGGGTTTCGGTGATCCAAATCAATCCGGCCAACCATCCAACTCTAGACAAGCACCACCATCGCCAGGTCAAGGTATGGCTCATACAAACGGAATGAACGGTCAGATGAACATGGCCGGAATGGCTAACATGATTGGCTTTCCAACTCCTGCTGGACATCAATCTGACCTCAATTATATTATGGTTATGGTTGAAGAATTGAGCCGCCTTTTAGCCGCCAATCAGAAAATCACCGATAGTATTCTTGAGAAGATCGGAAATGTTCGTCAACGAGCCAAAGATAAGAATTTGAGCAATGACGAGCTTCTTGATATTGTTACCGAGGAATTGAATGGTAAGTTACTGCCCCTGCTTTGAAGAAGAAGCATAGCTAACAATGCATTAGCTGGTTCAGAGAATCTCGAAATTGAGAACGCTCAATTGCGTAGGGAAGTCGAATCATCCAAGGCTGATGCTGACGAAAATTGGAAGTTGGTCCTTCATGCTGCTGGTATCCTTGAGGATATCAAGGAGAAGGCCCACAATTACAAATTCCAACATGAGAAGGACACTCTTGCCTGGCACAAGAGTTACCGTGATCAACTCGCTCAAGAACGCAAAGAGAACCTTGAACTTCGTTGCCACATCGCAGATATGCAAGCTCATGCTGCAAAGGCCAATGATTATATTAATCAGCTTCGTCGTTATGCTTCCGAGCACAAGATCATTACTGAGCTCACAACTCAAGTTCATCAATATAAGGGTGAACGTCGTTATTGGAAGCGTATGGCTTGTCCCGGTCTCATTGAAGATCCTAGCGAGTGGTCTGATGGTGAAGGTGGTGCCACTGGCGATATCCCTGAGGCCGAAAAGATCGCGTGCGCCCCGTGGATTGCTGAACGTGAAGAGATGGCACGCATCCTTAATGGCGATGGTGGATCATCTTAAATCTCTTCCTTTTGCATACACAATTACGATAAAATGGCGTTTGGAAGAAGGATTTTTTTACGGCACAAACCTTTCTCACGGAAATTGGCGTAATGGAATGGGTATACCCGATTTCTTTTACTCGATAGCATGTACATCTGGATGAATGGATGAACATGGATAAGGGAAACTTGTTTGATGAAATTCTTGTATTAATGTACTCTGGTTGCACATTGGGAATGGGAATGAAGCCAGCGGTTTCAAGCTGTGCATCGAATGTGGCGAATCTGGTTTTTCTTCTACTCGACGGCAAACACTCACGATATCACAACTCGCTCTCTTTTCTGAGATCATCTTTCTTTCCTTTCTTTCCTTCTTTTTTGAAGCGAAGTAGAGGAAATGTAAAAGGTGCAGAGATGTCGATGGGTTGACTAAGGACTTTCCTAAGATTTTATGAAAATGAAATACTCGAATGGGATTGTGATGCGGTCTTTGGGTTGTTTTGTTCGTAGGTAGGTAGGTAGGTAGGTAGTTTGTTCGTCACACGGTAGTTTAGTTAATTCAACATGGATGGATATGCCTCAGCGCATAATTCATATACTTTACTTTACTACCTATTATAGAACGTTTGTGTGTTTTATAACTGATGATGATGATGATGATGATGATGAAGATGATGATGTAAGTGGAATGTGATATAATATGAATTTCTACGCTTTCTACACAGTGGTGCGATCGATGCTATGGATGCTATATCTCTCACCTAGGTAGGTTACCCTGTCGTACCCAGGTGATTTTCCATTTATTGTGTTTTTTAGTCGTTGGGTTTGTAGTGCTCTTCCTTTTCTTTTTGCTGTCGGGTACTGGTTTCTGGTTTCTGGTTTGTGGTTTGTAGTTTCTGGCTGCTGGCTGCTGGTTATTGGTTTCTGGTTTCTGGTTACTGGCTGTTGGTTATGAATTAGAGGGATGAATGAGAGGGATGAATGAGAGGGATGAATTAGAGGGATGAAAAGAGTTAAGTGACCTTGTAAGTAATGAGTGAGTGAGTAAGTAAGTGAGTGAGTTAATTAATAGAATAAATAAATATAAAAGATATCTATTTATCTATCTATCTAATACCTATCTATTTAAATATCTAAATATCTCAATCTCTCAATCTCTCAATCTCTCAATCTCTCAATCTCTCAATCTCTCAATCTCTCAATCTCTCAATTTCTCAATCTCTCAATTTCTCAATCTCTCAATCTCTTAATTTCTCAATTTCTCAATTTCTTAATATTTTAATCTTTTAATCTCTCCATCTTTTAATATTTTAATATTTTATATCAATCTGACCTGATCTAATCAGACCTAACCTAACCAGACCTAACCTAACCAGACCTGACCTAACCTAACCAGACCAGATCAAACTAGTATACAGTATATAGTATACAATATACTTATCAGATAATTATCAATGTTTTAAATATATCATTATATATTATATTAAGAGTTTACTAGATTATTAGTTTATATTATATTAGGTATAATATAATACGATATAATATATAATACAAAATAAAATAAAATAATATGATTTTATTTTATTTTATTTTATCTTCTTATTTTTTCATTTACTTATTTTCATTTTCATTTCTCTCTCAATTTTTTATTCAACTCCCTCCCTTAACCCCTC